TGTAAATGCCATCGCTTCCGTTTTTAGAAACCATTATTTCGTAACCAAGAATTATAATTATAGAACATCTTGTTGTATATTTAGATTCATATTATGCATAACAATATTGACTCAGCCCAGAAAGACCTCATGAACCCCGACTGATGGCAGTATACCGTCTCATACATCGCCGTTAAGTTAAGACCGAAGCGGAGCAGCATCAAAATTGTGAGACGTTTAATGCTGCTATTACTAATCCATCTGCCAAGCGTGGTGATTACGGAAAAATCTGTTTACAATTGAGCCGTGGTAGCTCAGATGATTAGCGCTCGCTGTAAGCTTCAAAGTACTCGAGCAATCCGGGTTCGATCCCCGCCGGCACCAATGAAATTGTTAATTGCAATTTTAAGTGCTGATTTACCACGTGCGACGGTGAAGGAAAACATCGTGAGGAAACCTGCATGTTTGAGAAATAAGAAAAAAAATATTTCGAAGACATGTGAAGTTCGCCAACACCCATTGGGGCAGCGCGGCGGACATTTCCTTGCCCTAAAACCCTCTCAGAAATGAGAGGAGGCCTGTGCCCAGCAGTGGGACGTAAATAGGCTGCAAATTAATGGTTGGTTCTGTCATTTCCAACAGTAGACTGTTCTTGGCTGATAATGTAGAAGAAGAATATTGACGATGTAACGCCAGTACGGGCGTGGTATTTGGATCTGGATGGATTATTATGATGTACCCGTGTGAATGACACGGTATCGAACCCTCGGACTTCCCTGCTTCGTTAGTTTAGTTGTCGTAAACGGGATTGCTGGTCATGAGTTCCCGGGTTTGAATCCCGGGTCGGTTCAAAATCAGCCCGGAGTTAAGATGTTGGCAGTGTTTCACCCCCGTGCGTAGGAATTAGGAAAGTACGTAAAGCCTTTGGGTCCTGCGCTCTCTCTGTACTTTCTCCGGTCGTGTCGGATTACCGTGTCATCGGATTATTAAGAGTGAGGAAATAGAGAGCGCACCTGTGCTTGCGCATACACTCGGGCACTTTAATCCTGTTCTGTGCATGTGGCTAGTCTCCGTTGAGATTGGCTGCCGCTGTTTTTTTTATAGCACTAAGGGTGACAAACGAACACAGTCCACCTAGTGGTAAACGCGCACGGTGTTACAACACATCTGAAGCCATCTTTGTTTGAAGTTGACCGCAGGTGTCCATGGATTGCAGTAGCCGCTTACCATCAGGTGGACTATTAATCCAGGTTTATAAAAAAAAGTTAATTCGGATACTAAAGACGGACGTAGTCCGGAGTTGACCTGGGGAGCTTCACTAGTCAGCATCAGATTATTGTATTTCTGAATAATTCCAACCACCCAACGATCGTAAGTTGTCCTATACACGGGATTATGTTATGGTATCCCGTTTACGTTAGCATAGGGGTCTGCATTCGTATTCAGTTTCCATATCCGAGTGCGTAAGCCTATTTACGTAACACTATTAAATAGTTTCCATTGCCATATCATGGAAACGGGATAGACAATAAATACATCCTGATTGTAAATATATCCTTATACGAAAATATCGAAGGATGTAAGAATGATATCAAAGATGTGCGAGATTTATTAATACCATACCCAATTTTTAAGACTAAATTCCACAAATGTTAGTTCTAGGTTTGATTCCAATCTAAGACCTTAAGAACCTTGGTCCAAATTTAAAGCGAGGGCTTATCCCCTGGGGATACCACCATGGTTCTGAGTAGACATGTAATGAATAGCATATGCGGCCACACTCCGAATACCGAATATTCTGCGGACTTCTTGACCGAATAGCCGAGTTTATACAGAGCGTCATTTCTCTGAAGCTGGGATTGTATACGAGAAGAAAAGGAGTGAACTACTACCTGAAAATACAGAAATATTAATCTTTCTGCACCATGATCTCCACTTTAATTACATACAGTCAAGTATGGCAACTTTACCAATGGAAGGTAACTTTGCTATCAGGGATGTACTGGTACAAAATTACGATTAACACGGAAAACGTAACGTTTTTCGAGATATGCCATTTTTTTTTTGGATGAAAATACAATAACTAATTGACGACAGCATTGCTTTCGATATGGCAGCATGAGAGTTAATTTTAGCATTTTATTTTAACGCGCAATGGTGCCGGCAAATTAACCTCTTTGTTCAGTGCTCCAAAACTGGTTTTTTCTATTTTAAATACTGAGTGTAGGTGTCTTTGTAGTAACGTAATATTAATTGTTATCAAATGTAATTTATACTTTTTAACACGTTGGTCTTAATATTTATCTATAAACTAACTTGCCAAAGTTACCATATTAGTGATGCCACGATTTGACGGTTACTTTGCTGTTTTGTTACAACCAAGGGTTGTCACTCAACTTTTTATCAAGGATTTTTGACAACCCTGACACATATTTTCAAGTTTGTATACAATATTGAAAAATGGGAGGGCAACTTTGCCATAAGAGTAAATTTTACTATTTACAACACAATTAAAGGAAGCAAGTCATAACTTTGTGTTGTGTATTATATTATGAGGTAAACTTACCTTCAACCTTTAAGTCAAATCCTATTATTTTTTTATAAACCCTGATGGCAAAGTTGCCACAAAGTGAGGTTAACTTTGCCATTTTCTATTTTTGAGTATTTTGTCTATTTAAAGTGAGTATTTGTTTAAATCACTAATAAATACCAAATCTATGAAGAATATCATGTCACATTTAACAATGACGCCCACTTTGACAATATATTTTTTGTTGGAAAATTGGTCCTAAACTTTCCTTCGTCCTTCCAAAAATGGCAAACTTGCCAAGTTTCACGATACGTTAATTCAAGTGCATCGACATTTATCTGATAGTTCTTTGTTATTTTTTGTTTGGAAGTTGATTATGTACCTATGACTACTTTAATGTTACGTGAAAAATATATTACGGTATTATATATATAAAAAAAAAAACAATATTTTAATTATACCAATTATCTGACTACAACAAAATAAACATCTTACCATCACTTAGTATTCGGTATTCGGCCCAATAAGCCCTGGATATTCCATGAATAGGATAAGAGTAGCCAAATAGGCCGAATATCAATTAATATCCGAATATTCGTTGCAAGTCTAGTTCTGAGCTACTACGTTAATATTTATACCAGGTTACGTTAACCAATGCTTGGTACCTATCATACGGTTCGCTAGAGGCCGTCTGTTTCAATTCAAGGTGCCACGTGTGATGATACACTTGCAATTTTTATCGTTGAAAGCGAGAGTAGCTTTTTAAATTGAATTCTATTTTTAGCTTCCTATAATTCATTTTCAATTTGTTGGTCTAAACCGTTAAGTTTTATTTCGGTTTACACGCTGTTATATTCGTCTACGAATGCCGTTTTATTACACACGAGTTTTTAATAATTTCTTAAGATAATGCATCAGTGTACTGTGTATAATAATGTTTGTATGTAGGACGAGCTTACTATTTATATAGTGCAGTCTTCCTGACTAAATGTTTCTATTAATGTACCTGTCCAGGTTGTTGTTCAGGATTTCAATCGCTCCTAGGCTATATCACATTGAAGCATCTGTATATCATTTCTTAAAAAAATATAGCCGCCTTGTCAAGATAAAAAATTCTTTTCTGCGTGCTCCAGTTCAGAACGCATCTATGCCTGTAGGATAAGTCTGGCTATGTACGTTTGTTAATGTCTATTTAAAGCATCACAGTTACAATAACTTAAAATCTAATAAAGTTAACGTTAAGAGACGTGTAAAGGGATATAATAATGATGAAGTGTTTGTGATTGTAGTATGTGTACATGTGGGGGCGTTACCGTATGTTGGCGATGTAAGAATATCCACTTCCCCATATCATCCCGTGGGTGTAGTAAGAGGCGACAGAGGAAAACAAATGAGGATATGGTCAGCGACGTCTTCCTAGTAACAACTAAAAATAAAAAACTGCGGTTGCCAACCAGCTTGCCAAGCGTGGCGACTTATTTCTATTGTGTATAAATATTTAACATTGTATACAAAAAAAATAACGCTTGGGTCATTTAAAAAGCCTGCGTGAGTTGTCTGACTCGCGTGTCATAGGTTCGTCGTCACTACAATAGTATTAAAAATATAATATTTTCACAATATAATATAATATTAGCGCGTTTTATAATTTGTGACTTAAATAAACAATTTTTGTGTACAATGTGTGAAGAGACTAGGGTTTTCAATTATGTTATTTTATACTTGCGGTAAACTTTATGTAAGATCGAAATACGTATATAACTATAACCAAGGCCGATAAATTTTTCTCTTGAGGCCCAGGGAAGCACGATTTTGAGTCAATACTGCACTCGTTTACACAGTATGCGTCACGGCATTGCTGATAATATTTCTAATTTAGACTATCGAACGCAGCTGTAGTAGATCAACTTGTTCCGGAAAGTTGTATCGCGAGATTACTATATTTGTTGATCCCTTATCGAGATCAGTCGCATCCTTGCTTATCTATGCTATTGTTGGTTGGATATATTATGAAGTATAAACATTTGGTTAGTTGTAGTTTTTATTTTGTTGCGATAGATTTAGATGTATCTAAAAAAAATGTTTTCAACAAACCTGCTGGAATGGGCCCATCTTTAAATGGAAAATATTGCTTTGGTGGAAATTTTATACTATACTAAACTATATTTTTCATTACCAGTCGAAAGCATATTAAAATAAATCTATAATATATCTGTAGAATGTGGCAGTATATGTATGTATGAATCTATTCTTCTTCGTCACATTCTGTGTACAAAAATACGAGAACGATATTTCGTTTACGTTCTACTCATTAAACGTAATCGAAACATCGTTGTTATTGCTCGAATATAATACGAATAGGTTTAAAGTAATAAGTTGATATATTATATTCATCGACATTTTATGATTAAAATGTGAAATACAATAGGCAGGTCCACAACACGTTTGCTTGTTTCGGTGTTTTAAAAACGTTTATCATTTCTTGTTTCAGTTACGAGCCAGAACTCCATCCGGGCGTCACGTATAAGCTGTACAACCCCAAAGCAACGCTAAAGATATTTTCCACGGGAGGTGTGACAATAACAGGTTTGTTGACAATAATTCCTAATATCACCATGATACACTTATCATCAGCATTCCGCCAAATTCGGTTAATTCTACTGAATAAAATTAATTTAGCAAATGAAGCTTAAAAATACATAAACTAACTTTAATTATTAAAAAAAAAAAACAACATTATATCGGACCGCTGCGAAAGTATATCTAGATAAAAATATCAACGAAATCCGTTTAACGAACTCGAAACTATTTTGTTACGTATATCAAAAAATACAATCGAAATGATGCATTTCCGTCGACCTTCATCCACTTTTGAAAATGATTGTTGGAAAATACATTAGTTTATTTTTATGATATTATATTATTGATTGATTATTCTTACTGCAACTTCCAACATACATATTTTAATTTTGGAGTAAAATTACACATACAACACACACACATTTTCTATATTCTATGACTACATAGCAGTGACTGTGGTAGTTGAGAGTCGTTGTTTCCATTGTAAACCCTAGTTGTAGGTTAGGACGAGAGAGTGCCTCTGTGTATGTTTCACTTGTGGAAATATAACAGGCGTTATAATATCACCTGCGCAATTGATAGCTTCCGATTAATCAGAAGCTGTAGTATAACTTCGGGTGCGATTATTAGGTCGTTAGTCACTGTCAATCTTATTCGAAAAGTGATATCAGTAGTTGGAAAATTACGAAGTTATTGTTATTTGGATCTGGATGTCGCGTTTTTCCTAGTATTTATGCCGCGCATCCGCATATTCTTTAGGCGGTATTGTTTGTGCGCCCGCATGAACAAGCACAAATTCCACCTGATGGTAAGTGGATGCTGTGAAACATAGAAAGCCACTTAGAAAAATGCAAGTACAGAGGTTATGTCACCCCTGCTGAGGTCTATAATGGAATTCCTCCTTACTTAACGTACGAACACAGCAGTATTAAGCTGCTATTTAACGCTGGTATTCTGTACGGACGTGGTCCTTTCGTGCGGTACCGACCCGATCGTGCTACAGTCATATGAAATGAAATATGCCCGAAGGTTAAAAACGTCTAACATCTGTAACCAACTTCGAAATGTTTTGTCAATGCTCGCGTATCATTTAACAGATTTCTTTGCACACTTACGGATAGGGAAACTGTCAAAAAAGCCTCTCTTGCTGAAATAAGATAATACCTATTTGATTTGTATTTAAATTTGTCAGTAGACTGTAAAAAATATGAATAGGCGAGTTGTTTTTTTTTTATAAAAAGAAAAATTATATTCGGGTATTTTAAAGTATTTACTAGAAAGCTTTGAATATTTCATGAAATAGAAATTGAATTCGCATTCAATTTATACATTAATAAACTCATTGTTCATTCAGCAAAATGATGTTGCAGTGTCACATCCTCGGCCCCGCCAAGTGCTTCCGGGAACTGTACTGATTAGATCCGATTAAATTAGGGCCTATTTATCATGACCCATGTGTACTCCATTTGTATTATTTACTATCGCTTATTATGGGTTTATTCATATTAAAGTTAAAGTGATTGATTTTTATTCATAGCTTTTGTCAAAGGTTTTCTTGTATTAACAGTTGTGTAAGTCCAAAAGACATTTGACACGACTTTCGAATGTATGACGTTATAATGTATATGTAAGCATGTATGTGGGACAGTATTTGGAAGTTTTGCGTTTAGAAAACATATAAATTGGCGCGTTTGAAGAGACAAAATTTTGTAATGACCTTATTTAATTTATTGTCTTCTGCTATAGAAGTGTCCTTTTATGTTTTTGACATTAAAACCTTCTGCCAATCGTATTGTTCAGTGTATTTTGACGATGGAGAACTACTACTAAGATCACCCACCCGTCGGTCAAAATAAAAATTGATCTTACTTGAAAGAGACTTACTGATTAAGAAATATAATTCTTAAACCACGTGATAGACGTGTAGTTATGCATGGGTCTCAGTGAACATTAGTTAATAGCTAGACCATGTACACTGTTATTCACATTAAACAGTCCTTTTCCAATGCACCAACGGAGCGTGATGAGATCACAATACGGAATATTATCTTTCGGTTAAATATATTATCTACATTAGACATTTAAATAAAATTAAAATCTGTCAGTAATATCTAAATAACTGCATTTTATAGAGCTCACGGGGTTATCTCCATGTCATTACGTTTTGAATAACCTGTTTAAAAATTTTGTCTGTCTGGCTGTCTCTGTCCGGGCTAATCTTCGGATGGGCTAAACCTCTTATTATGAAACTTTACGAACAGAGAACATACCTCAAAACCTTAAAACGAAATTGTACAACCAGTGCGTGTTGCCAGTGATGACTTACGGAACTGAGACGTGGTCCTTCACTGCTGGCCGTATGAGGAAGCTCAAGATCGCTCAGCGAGCTATGGAGAGGGCTATGCTCGGAGTTTCTCTGCGTGATAAACTTAGGAATGAGGATATCCGCAGTAGAACCAGAGTAACCGACATAGCCCAACGGTTTAGTAAGCTGAAGTGGCAGTTGTCCCGGCCATATAGCTCGAAGAACCGACAACCGATGGGGAAGAAAGGTTCTTGAGTGGCAGCCTCGTACCGGTAGGCGAAGTGTAGGACGACCCCCCACGAGATGGAGTGACGACCTGGTAAGACATGCAGGAAGTCGATGGATGCAGGTGGCTCAGGACTGTGCTTTGTGGCATTCCTTGGGGGAGGCCTATGTTCAGCAGTGGACTTATGAAAGGCTGTAATGATGATGATGATGATGATGACGAACAGATAGAGAGCAAAGCCAGGAGTGAGCTAGTCTATATTTTATTTAAAATAACTTGGAGATTTTTTTATGTGAAATCGTAAAGATTATAAAATATACGGTCTTTGATGATATCCTTAAACTAAATGTCTTTACTTCAATAATTCCAACCCAAACGAAATCGACGCGGGTCGTTAGTGTATTATAAGATTATTCGCGTATGCGTTACACTTTAAACAAGTATATACATTTAGAGATATTATATTAAAATTTATAAACTTAAAATATTAATTGCTTCATAGTGTCGTTCCCTTCGTAAGTATTATCCATACAGCGTTGTTCTCGTTTAATTACTAACCATATAACAAATGGTAAATTTAAAAATTTTGTACAACTGACTTCAATATAAATAAAATGAGAACATCATCAATGTAGTCGAAGTCAATTAAATATAAGGATTACTCAAGAACTACTGGTCAGATCTTGATCATATTTATATGGGACCACATGAGAAGCACCAGCAAATAAAAAATAATCGTCAACATCGGTTCACCTAGAAAAAAGTTGTGAGGTAACACACATAAAAAATACAGTCGTATTAAGAACCTCCTCCTTTTTTGAAGTCGGTTGAAAACGGGCGTTAGAGGTATTTTTTTTTAACAAATTGTAAGTAAAAAATAGAAAGGTTGATCTCTTTTTAATGGCCAAAACAAACGATGATGTCGGTTGTTTTGGCTTTTTTTCGACTATGACGGGAACTTATAAATACTATTAGAACTGACTTCTGCGTACGATATATTACAGAGCTACCACATTAGTGCGAATTTAAATGTACTCACTTTTCTTTACTGCCTAATATTCTTCTGCTTTATCAACGGCGCATAGAAGTTCAATGCTGGACATTGACCTTTCCCGTTGTAGGGAGAATATGCTTTTATCCCACTAGTGGTAATTAAACAAAAGAGTGACTTTCAATAAGTATTATTTATAATCTATATTGAATAAAAAAGTTTCTGTACCGTGACGCCTCGTACCTTTGACGCTGCTGCCAGTCGCCGGTCTGCATGATCGTACAGAATTTCTTACGTTTATCGTAGACGAGACAGTTATACCGCCATTATTTGGAAGCCATTTAAAGATCTTTTTAGCATATCACATAGCCCTCTTACTACACCCACGGTACGAAATGGGATGATGGATTCCTTACCGTGTAGTGGCAGTGTAAGAATATCGGATATCCCATATCGTTCGGTGGGTGTTGTGAGAAAAGTAACAGGGAAAAACAAATCAGGAGATGGGCAACATTGTCTTTTCATAACGACTAGAAAATTCAAAACTGCATTAAAAGTCCACTGCTGATCACAGGGCTCCACGTAGATTTCCCTAATAGGGGAGATATAATAACAACAAAATAAAAATAAAACTAAAACTCCACGACCGCAGAATGGCGGTGTAAGAATATTTATTACGCCATTTGGGTTATTCCGTTTATCCACCCTGTGTGTGATATACGGGGTGGAAAGTCTGAATTCACTTTTTGATTGTTGTTCCGCCTTTCACCCCCAAGCGCAGTTCAACAGAAAATATATTGATACTTTAATATATTATTTATTAATTTTTAATAACCACAAACTTAAACAAAAATCATAATTACTTATTGCATTTAAACCAAATTGAACTACCTCGTTATAAAAATTATAATAAATAATTTATAAATTCTGCAATATGTCTAGGAAGTGACCAACACTAATTTTATTATTGAGTAGACGTGTATATTCTGTATAAATTCATCTCTAATGTACATTTGCAATCGTTTCCTAAATTTCTTTGTTACGACAGATGTGTTAGCAAAAATCTGGTTGTTTTTTGCAAGCAATCTAAAATTATATTGCAATGAATTTGTAGTTCTGTGATACACTCCGAATGAATTCCAAACAGTTACATAATTTTCATACTTGAGCCATGTCTTTTCATAGTAATTCACAAACGCCATCATATTATCATTATTCAATGACGTAAATTATGTCACATCAAATGATACGAGGGCGACACGCAGCACTGGAATAATAATGCTTCCTGTTCCTTCAAGCTACTCTCTGCGCTACAGTGTTCGGCACGGTTTTGAGCCTTACTGCTCGCCTCTACTTCACGGCACTCTCGTAGATTACATGCCTTCTTCTCGACTCACCGCAGACTATAAGGCAATCCCTGGCACTTGCTTCGGCTCATCGTTGTCACCGGCATCACTTGCATGTATTACAAACCGGCACATCGTTCGCACCGGCGTCACGTGCCTTTACGCACACAGCATGCATTCCCCACCGGCATTAAGGACGCACCTGCAATCGGACTGCACTATCGACCTCCGGTCTATCACTATGCACTATCATCTCCGGTGATGTTGCGGCGCTGTCATCGCGCCACAAGCGAAACACATCGAAGCCTAAATCGCGCTAACAAAGTTCCGAAGTTAAAACCGTATATATAGAATAGCTGCGAACTACCACTTGGAGCGTTTCCCGCTCCCCGGGCAGAACACCTTGCCCGGCGGGAGATCTCCCCTTTTCCGCCACAACACCACTGACGACAATACGACACGCTTTATTATAGTATAGATTTACTGACAAAAACTATGCCTTATTAGGCAATATATGGGCTGGCCTAAGTTCAACAGTGGACATTAATAGACTGCAATTAATGAATGAATAAATTATCTACCCTATACGTCTATAAAACATTAACTTTTATTTGCAGCTCGGAGCGTGAGCGACGTGCAGTCGGCGGTGGAGCGCATATTCCCGCTGGTGTACGAGTTCCGCAAGCCGCGCACAGCCGCCGACGAGGAGCTCCTGCGCCAGAAAAAAGCCGCGCGTCCGCCCCCCACCACCAATACCACCCCGCCGCTCACCACCGACCTCTGCCTCGTGACGCTCTCTGACGATGATGCCGTGGAGCCCGACGTCGACGCCGACGCTGACGCCTGGCAATGACGACGCCGACGCCGAAACGCCGCCGACGATCGTGCCAGCGCCGATCTTCCCCGCTCGGCCTCGCACGCAACGCTCGACGGCGCACCCGCGTCTCAATCGTCGGCGAACTTTCCAGTTCATGCCAAAGATATTTATTAGAGGTGCTTCGCGCTTGTCCAACGCGAACCGCGCTCGCGCTTCTACTAATACTACGAGTGTATCTTAGTACGCGTACATCGATTGTGTAAACTCGTAATAAAAAAAAAAATTACGTCTGTTGAGAATAAATCTCGATACTGATACTCAATTCTTTTTCATTTTGCCGTTGCAGTTAATGATTGAAATTGTAGTGATAATAGTGTTCACGTTAAGATTCATTCTAAGAAAGTGATGACTGAATGATTAGTTAGTTGTTAGTGATTGTAAATACGAAGCTTAGACATTATACATTTCATTAAAAATACTGTTGTTTTATTAAACATTTATTGAGATTTGTAGTACAATAATTACATAACAATGAGATAGATGATTTAAACAAGAAATTTCACTGAATAACATTATGGGGGAGGGGGAGGGGGAGGGATTTTACGGGGTTAATGCGTGTTTGATTTAAGAATCTGACTCGTGGGTATCGTACTCATCGCTAGTGAAGCCTCGGGCTCGCGATGGTCTCGAAGGGCGTCTAGCTTGAATCCGAGAACAGCTGAACGGATTATGTTGTAACATTTCCGGAGTGCGGATGTTTGCGGTCAGATCAAAAACCGATAAACGCGGAGTCCTCACCGCGGTACCTGCGGAAGTATAATTGTCAACAATTTTCGGCCTGGAGATAAGTTTTATTAATCTGCATTATCTGTACATATAACTCCACTGTTAGACATGATCCTCTCTTGTTGGTCCGTTGGCAGGATTCGCCATATTCGCCACGCCTGGTAGCCGAATTGGTGATCGCAATTTCAGACCACCAAGTCGTAGATCTGGATATTTAAAAAAATATGATAGTGCCATCATCTATAGGAATTTCTAGCATTCCCAATAGTCGCCTCTTATGCCACCTACTGTATGAAATGAAACGATAACTTCTCTTACGCGGTCTCAACATACCAAATATCTTTTTATTTCATTACAGCCAACACGCTGTTCTGTGCTAGGCACAGACATTCTGAGAGGACTATGGAGCAATTAGTCCGTCACGCCACTCCAGTATCGTCAATTTCGGATGAATATTTTGCCTGTGTCAATGGTGCTTGTGTCAGGATCAATGGGACCTACTCGGACTGGTTTGGCATCCATAAAGGTGTCAGACAGGGCTGTGTGGCTTCCCCGTGGATGTTCAACCTATTTATGGACAGTTGTTTGAAAAAATTTAAAGTAGAAGAATGCGGGATAAGAATGGGTGAGTTAACCGTCAAATGTCTTTTGTACGCCGATGATCAAGTCATACTTGCGTCGTCGGCAGCCGAGTTGCAAATGATGGTTACATTAATGAACAGGACATTAAAGAAAAGGGAATGAAAGTGAACGCAAGTAAGACGAAAGTTATGGTTTTTGAAAGAGAAGAAAGTAAAACGATATGTGAAATAAGAATAGAAGGGGAGTTGGTCGAGCAAGTAGATGAGTGTATATTTGGGATGTGTATTTAGCAGGGATGGTAGATATGATAAGGATATAGAACGACGAGTGAACGCAGGAAATAGAGTGAATGGGGCTCTACACCCTATTGTGAGAAGTCAGAATGTGTCCAAAAAGGCACGTATGGCAATTCACAATGCTGTGTTAGTCCCTACTTTAATGTATGGTAGTGAAAGTTTGGTGTGGCAGAATGCTGTAGAAATGCGGTCATTGAGGAGTATGTTAGGGATGAATCTGAATGACAGAGTGAGAAATTGTGTGATAAGAGAAGAGGGTGGTTTGCAAGATAATGTGACCAGGTGGGTTTGGTCATGTAGAAAGAATGAATGACGAAAGAGTGACAAAACAAATTTATGTTGCAGAGGTGAACGGCAGAGTCGGGAAGGGACGCCCTAGGGCCCTAGGCGAAAGTTTATCGACCAAATTGGCGATATATTGAAAATGGGCCAAATCAAGAGTACCTTTAACCGACGAGCGTGTATGCGTAGGTATATGGATGTGGAGGAAGCGAGAGAGGTGTGTCAGGATCGTGCCAAATGAAAGTCCATAGTCTCTGCCTACCCCTCTGGGTGACAGGCGTGAGTGTTTATGTTATGTTTTATGTTATTTTGCCGTTTATCAGTCGCCAAAACCTGGTTGATTAGTTGGGTTTAACTTGTGCCTACGCATAGAAGCGGCTAGAGCCTTAAATTAAGCACATATTATAGAAAGAAAATTTATGGTTAAGGTAAATACAAAAAGTTCCGAATTCTTACGGATCCGTAAAACTGCGTGCTGCGCAAAACTGAAAGCAGTTTGTATTTTTAGTAGTTTGTACCCGGGTAAAATTTTAATAGCAATTATATTTTAAAGTGTTTTGCATCACTATTTGTTTAAGTTTTAAAGGTGACACGATATTTTTTTTTAGTATAAACATATTTAAGAATATTCGAATACGCTATAAAAATACAAAGATTTTTGATCAACGAAAAAAAACATAATTATTATGTGTAACATATACCTATACAGGGCTTTAATATATCTACGCATAGATATTTTGTTTGTAAGCATAGTTAATAATGATGAGATAATTAATTACAATTATAAAGCTGTAGTGGGTCAGGAGTTAAGCGCTAAATTTCACAGTACGGTATGACCTTTTGTTCGATCCGGCTATCGCAATGTAATGTACTGATATACCACGTGCTTGGCGATAGAAAAAACATAGTGCGGAACCCGGTATATCTGAGAAATAAAAATATTTTTATTTCGAGTAGAGTAGGTTAGGTGCGACAACATGAATTGGAGCAGTGCGGCGAACAAATTACCCTCTTACGGATGAGGGGAGGGATATGCCTAGCAATAGGACGTATATAGGCTGTAACTTAGACTTTACAGTTATAAAAAATCATAATTATGGACCGTTTGTATTAAAAGCATAAAATAGCTTTAATTTTAAAATAACGTTAAGTAGTTTAAAGCAAATCGGAAATTCTACAGGGGCAAATACGTAAAAATATAAAAGAAATGTTTATTTCTGTAACCAGTTATAATAGGCAATGCGTTATCCTCATGTTTGTGTTGCGGTCGTGTGCGTAGAACTGAGTGTCTCATAGTTCGCGGTGGTAACGCGCGAAGTGGCGGCGTTGCGCGAGGCAATGGCGGCGACAGGACGCGGGAAGCCAGCACGCGTCGCTCTGGAGACCAGCTGGTCGACCTGTCATCATCATCAACAGTCTTTTTAACTTCATACGCGCACACACACACACACACACACACACACACACACACACACACACACACACACACACACACACACAGACACATTTGTTGGAGTATTTGTCCATACCCACCTCGCTAGGTAGGCGGGTTGATGGGCGCGGATCTATCGTTAATGGCTCGCTGGTAATGCTGTACCCCATCACTATTTTGTGGAAATTTGTGTTTTTTTTATAGGATAAGGGTGACAAACGAGCACACAGTCCACCTGATGGTAAGTGGTTGCTGCGGCCCATAGACATCTACATCTATCCTCTATTACAAATCAAAATGTAGATGCGTTGTCACCCGTGAGGACTAAGATGGAATGCCTCATTTCCAGTAAAAAGGGCCTCCGGTCACCTGCACTCTCCAAGCGAAACGCAGAGGTAAACCTCTACTTCCCGCTGGTTTTCTGTGAGGGTGGTACCACCCCGGTTCGAGCTGGCCCATCCGTGCGACAGCAAAAGCTGCCGCGTGGCTCTACCACTGTTTAGATAAATGTTTGTGTTAGATAAATGTTCCGCCTGCCCAATTCAAGGGTTCAAGCTTTCTTCATAATCATCATCATCATTACAGTCTATCAAACACGGGTTGGCAACCGCAGTTTTTTTATTACTTTGAGTTGTTATCTAGAATATGCTGCTGCCCATCTGTTTCATCTCCTGCCGCCTCTTTCTTCGTACCTACCAAATTTCATGTACCAATGCAGTAGTTTAGCCGTGAAAACATAACAGACAGATAGTTACTTTCGAATTTTTAATATTAGTATGGATTAATAAACGTATAATATTAGTAGTGTACTGCAACTTAAGAGAATCCGTAACTCCATCTCGCCCCTTATAGGTTGTTACTCCATTTGCCCATAGAACAACACGGGCCACCGGCGGACCGTGTTGCTCTATACAATTGACTGATGAAATTCCAGTAAAAGTCGCATGGTTTTGACAACCACACTTGTAATGTTCTGCCTAGAGTTGCCAACATTTTTATATCAAATAATCTTGTAACTATAAAAATATATATTACAATTAAGAATTTTCCATCTATCTATATAATACAGTAGGATTCGCAACCCTAGATATGCCTCTGCCACTTTTTTTACTTTACAAATGCGTTCCCATAAATTTTTATATATAAATAATTGGGCGCTCTTCTTATTATTTTCATAGATTGCAACACCTTCACCATGTTTGTTTATCGTGGATACGTTGGTTACTATTGAAACCATTATACCGCTATAATTATAACTTAAATTAAATATTTGAAAAAAAAAACCGAAACAAAAAGAGTTGATGATCTTCAAACGGCTGAACAGATTTTCTTGAAACAGCTAAGAATACTCTCAGGAGCTATGATACCACAGTCAGACACACAGATACACACGTTCAACATATTATAACACTCCTCTTTTTCGTAGGGGGTTAAAAAGAGCTTAGATTATAACCATAAAGTTTTTTTTTCGGTGGGTAGGCGCAAAACTGTGTTGACATATTTAAAATCGTTCCTGATTTTTTAAAGTTTTAATTATAGTAAATTTAGAACAATCAAGTATATAAATGTACCTGTAATTACATAAATCCACCAGCATTGTTTACTAATAATTTGTTTTTCATTGCACAACTTAAAACTTATTTTGCCACTTCACTGTCACTTGACATTGACCTTTAAGTAACCTTTAATTGAATATTAAAAATGGATTTGCTTAAGAAGTCAATTGAAGAGCTAACACTGAATTTCACTTCACGTATGGATGAGTTCCAGAGGGAGGTCAGAACATCCATCCCTGCAACGAGCCCTTCTTCCAATATTAATGCACAATTTAATGCATTTAGGGCATTCGTCCTGTCAGCACTTGAGAATCTGCAACTTCAGCTCCAGCTTCTCTCTAGGCAGCAAGATGAAATGGAGGTAAGGACCAGGAGGAAGATGTTGCTTGTCCATGGAATGCCAGAAGCTCAAGATGAGAACCTAGTACATTGCACAAGTAAGGTATTATCAGAGCGGCTGAACATCCCTGAATTAAGTGTGGACTCTATTACCAGATGCCATCGCTTAGGGCGCCCCCGTGGCGACAAGCCTCGTGTGTTGCTCGTGAAATTTCAAGATCAGGATCTCCGTGACAAAGTTTGGTTTTCCAAAACCAAGCTAAAGGGTAGCGGAGTTACTCTATCTGAGTTCATGACTAAGGGTCGTCATGAGGCGTTTGTTGCTGCTCGGAAGCGCTTTGGTGTATCCCAGTGTTGGACACGCGATGGATATGTTGTGGTGCTTGGGTCCGACGGCACGAAGCACCGGGTGTACACCGTGGCTGAGGTGATCGCCATTCCTGATGCAGCTGGTGGTGTCCCTACTACCACATCCTTGACTGCGGCGACGGCGGCGGCGGCATCTTCGGCTCCCAAGCCCTGTGTTACTACTGCTAGGGCTAGGAAGACGGCTAAAAAATGATGGTAGTGGCATGTTTTTCTTATGATTTTGTTTTTACTAATTTACTCCAGCAGCTCAATTCTTATATTTTTGTAACTTTTAGGTAATCAGGTTTTAATTATAATTCTTTGCCATTCATTTTTAAGACATAAGTTTTATAATAGGTTTCCACTGCAACACACATTGTTACTGAAATTATTTTAATTATTTCACATAACTGGTAGATTAATTAATCATTATATTTTTTGTTAATAATATTTACGTATAAATACCTTTATTTATACTAACAGTGACAGTTGTTACCTGTTGTCAGATTTCTTTCTTATTTTTTATTTTATTTTATAACTTTGGCAAAGGCATCTTAATCCATACTGCCTAGTCTGACGTTTACAGTTTCAAAATGTCTTAAAATCTATTGGCGTCAGACTGCAAGGTTTTGGTAATTTTTATATTAAACTGATTGTTTTATTTCTTTAAGTTGTTGTTTTGTTATGTGCTTTCTCTTTCATGCTGCTGGTGGTTGTAATAGTATAGGTACCTTTCGATCTTTATTTATATTTTTTTTTTCTTTTTTTTTTAGTGTATATAAGAATTTATTTTATATTTTAATTTAATATTTATGGCCTCCTCAAACATTTGTAACGATAGTGATTTGTTTCTATCGTTGTCTTCGGACGATGGGACACTTAGTGATGATAGTTATCACAGTACAACTGCTCCTCCTTCACTCAACATCACCTTAAATTCTTTTTTCTCAGACTGTGTGAATAACTTTAATGCTATTCATATTAACGCCCAAAGCATTCCGGCTCATTATCCTGACATGCTTGCGTCATTTGAATCCCAAAATATTCACGCCATTTTAGTTTCAGAATCTTGGCTAAAACCCTGTCTGCCTTCCACTTCTTATTCTTTGCCTGGGTTTCATCTAATTAGAAATGACCGCACTAATAGGGGTGGTGGGGGCGTGGCGATCTATCTAAGATCCTACCTTCCATTTAAAATTGTTAGTTCGTCAAGTCAACCACCTCCTGTTGATTCTGCTGAGCATTTGCTGGTTGAGGTCTCCCTGTCTCAGAATAAAATCCTACTTGGAGTTTTCTACAGTCCCTCCCTTTCTATAAATTATTTTACTTCTTTTGAATCTCTTTTAGAATCACTAGTCCCTACGTATAGTCACACTATTTTGATGGGTGACTTTAACACCTGTTTGCTTAAAGGCGACAATCGATCTATAAAACTTGAAGCTATAATTGAAGCGTGTAATATGCAAATCCTACCCCTTTCTGCTACTCATAACTTTCCTAACAGTACTCCTTCCCTTCTTGACTTAATAATGGTGTCATCTTCCAATTTAGTTTTCAAGCACGGACAGTGCCCTGCTGATGCATTCTCTTATCACGATTTAATTTTTCTTTCGTATAAACTACGCCCTCCTAAAATCAAACCCAAATTAGTTCTGCGACGTAATTTTGGAGGAATGGATATTGAACAACTTTGTGAAGATGCTTATAATATTGACTGGTCAGTGATCGAGAGAGCTCCATGCATTGACGATAAAGTGGAACTGTTCTGTTCTCTTCTCACTCAGCTTTATGACGTCCACGCGCCAATGCATTATGTGAGACTTAAACACCTACCTGCTCCATGGCTCTCTGATGATCTGAAGAAGCTTATTTTGCAGAAGAATGCGGCATTGTCAAAGCTTAAGAGGAATAAAACAGAGGAAAACGTAAGGAAATACGCCAAAATCAGGAATCGATGCAACACATTGTGTAGAGATGCGCAACGACGCCATATTCATACATCAGTCGAGAACGGCGACTCATCTAGGGTGTGGAAGTTTCTCAAAACAGTTGGAGTTGGTAGAACATCCCTAAATACTTCACCTCCTAGTGTTGATTTTGAACTATTAAATCAACATTTTTCTAATCCTTCTAACTCTTTTGATAGCGAACATAAACTGCAAACACTTCGTTCGCTTTCTGTAATTCCGACTCCTAATTATCCTCCGTTCGTTTTTAGTCAGTTTACTGAATGTGATGTTAAGAAGACCATATTATCCATCTCCTCAAATGCTGCCGGTAGCGACAACATTAGCCGTAATATGATTGTTCCTCTCCTTGATGTTATTACTCCCATTATCACTTATTTACTCAATGCTTGTGTCTCTTCCTCTAAATTCCCTCAAGCCTGGAAGAGTGCTCATATTATACCCCTTCCAAAGAAATCTAATCCCGTCAACCTCTCTGATTTCCGTCCCATCTCGATCTTACCTTTCCTTTCTAAAGTCCTTGAAAAACTTATTTGCCAACAGCTGACCCTTTTCCTTAATAAGCACAATTTATTGAATTCCTTACAATCCGGTTTCCGTCCAGGTCATAGTACGGCTACTGCCTTAATCAAAGTTACTGATGACATACGGTGGGGTATGGATAATAAACAACTCACAGTCATGACCTTGCTGGATTTCAGTAATGCGTTCAATACTGTTGACTTCGATATACTGTTGAGTCTGTTATGTTCCCTTAACATATCTCCATCAGTAATTGACTGGTTTCAAAGTTATCTCTGTGGCCGTCGGCAGTGTATTCGTGTCGATGAAACTCACTCATCTTGGTGTGATATAACTGCAGGCGTGCCGCAGGGCGGCGTGTTGTCACCTTTACTCTTTTCCATTTTCATTAATTCAATCACTCATAAAATATCCTCTCTCTACCACATGTATGCGGATGATGTCCAGATTTACACCCAGTCAACTCTTGAGAATCTGCCGAATGCAATCGCTACATTAAATAAGGATCTAAATTTTATACACGAGTGGAGTAAATCATATGGCCTAAATGTCAATCCTAAAAAGTCTCAGGCTATCATTATTGGTAGCCAGAGCTTTATCTCAAGAATTGACTGGTTCTCTGTACCACCTATCGTATTCGATGGAGTTGTTATCCCTTACTTTGACAATGTCAAAAATCTTGGTATTTATATTGATAATTCCTTAAATTGGATACGCCAACTGAATGAGGTAAGTAAGAAAACTTTTGTCGCTCTTTGTTCACTGCGTCGCCTTCGATCATTTCTTCCCATTCCTACAAAAATTATGCTCGCACAGTCTCTTCTCCTTCCGATTCTCGACTATGCTGACGCAAGCTATGTAGACATAACTGAGGACCAGCTAAATAAGCTTGAGAGACTTCAAAATACTAGTATTCGGTTCATATTTGGATTGCGCAAATTTGACCATATTTCCCAATTTCGCTCACGTCTCAAGTGGTTACCTATCCGACTTCGCCGGAACATGCATATACTTTCTATTCTGTACTGTGTATTATTTCACCCTTCTACTCCTCCCTATCTAAAGGAGAAGTTTAATTTTGTGGGGCTTCCGGGGGAACCTTTACGCTCTTCTAGAAAATTCATTTTAAGTGTGCCAACTCACAATACATCATTTTTCAATAAATCTTTTACTGTCCAGTCTATTAAGCTCTGGAATGCCCTACCTTTGCATATACGTGAGGCACAAACTATTGTTATCTTTAAGCGATTACTTAAAGAGCATTACTTGTCTCAGTCGTTCGGAGACCGTTAGGATAGATTGTGTGATTATGTATTTATTGTATCTATCAGTTTTATATTATTGTTTGAGGAATTTTGTATATATATATATATATATATTGATATATACGTGTTGTGTGTATATTTATGTATATATGTTTATATATATGTGTGTATGTATATATGTATGTATATGTGTATGTATATGTATATATTATATGTGTTACCTTATCTTTTATTATGTGTTAGTAATTTATATTATTTCATGTATTACTTAGTTATTTATATCTTTTTTTTTTTTTGCATTTATTATTTGTATATTTATATTGCACCACCTACCACCTACCTATTCATTGTTTGTATTACTTTACACCTTTGGTTGCCTGGAAGAGATCGCTATGTAGCGATAAGGCCGCCAAATTGTACATATTATAATCTGATTTTGTTATGACGTTTGTATATTTGTTCGTGGTGTACAATAAAAGTATATTCATTCATTCATTCATTCATAATTAGGTATTTATAGAGACTAGAATTAGTATTTTATTAATTAAAAACTTAGAACATAATGTACCTACAACATTGAGTTATATGTACTACGTTTATTGTTTTATTGTTTATTATTTTTATTGCTATTCCAAATAAGAATTGTTCGTTACTCTATGTCTTCGCGTCTACGCGGAAAATAGTAGGTAGAGTCGCGTATCCTTGAAGACTTCAATTTAATATAAAATAAAAATGAGAATTGAATATAAAACACTCTTATTTTAATCTTAACAAACATATTTCTAAATAAAATGTAATAATAATTATCTTATGGAATTCACAAATCCTCAATTTATGCAATAATTAGTTTAGTGTACGGATTGCAGTACAATGTTCGGAATGCAAAATCTAGTGCGTAGTACATATACATCGATGACCTACAAGAAGAATGAAAGATGTCTTTGCGCTACAGAATGTGTTATTTTCGTAAAGAACATAACTAAATGCAGTAATAATTTAAAAATGTCATAATTATTTTATTTTAGGTAAGTTTACTATAAATCGATCCAATATTAAAGTCAGTGAATGCCACAGAGTACTTTATAGTGAATGCTCTTGACCTTTCCCGCTCGTAGGCCGCGCGCCTACGCCGACGCCGGCCACGCGCCTCTTTCTTTTTACTGGGCGCACTGACTCGCGGGGGCACAACGCCTATGTGTCGGTAATAGTCGCACAGAGATTTCACAAGAGCTCTTCCTATTTTTGCATCTGTGTTTGGGTCACGGTAATTACTTCTGAAATATAGGTAATTCAAGAATTACAATGTAACTGGCAATATTGACAGTGTTATAGGGAAAATGCTGTGCTGATACTTTATGCTAACTCATAATTAGATAGTTATGTAATAAATTATCGTAGTCACCACATTTATTTAAGTAACTTTATGCATGTTTTGAATTTTTTATTTTAGAAATAGCTGAATATAAGACTGACCACGAGATTTTTTTTTAATAATTATAATCACACGATGGAAAGTGACTACTGCAGCACATGGACACCAATAAACTTTACAAGCAGCTGCTGCGTTGACACCCGCGATTAATATAAAAAAAATTAGTAATAAATAATTATGCTGGAAATACCAGAACACAATAGCGAATGCACTGCTGATTGGCGACGTAATACCGTGGTTCTAAACTTAATGCTCTAGGCACAGAAATGGAGCTCTACCATCTAGTAATTTTAATGAAGTATTTTAAAAATAAAAAAAAAACAAATACGATACGTCGGTGGAAGACTTTTGTTGTGTTGTTTTGTGTTTTAACTGACGTTTTTAAGACATGCCTAGTACAACCCTAGAAATCTAAGGAAATAGAGACCAGATGAAGAGATTATAGAATAACATTACATGTCTGTAATAATATCGCGATACGCTTGAAGCAATGTGTGGCATTTTTATCGTTCATTATTAATCAAGTCATAGGTACCTCAAAACATAAATTAAGAATGGCCGAGTTAAGATAACTACTGGATTTGAAAAAGGATACATGCATCTTCGTTGTAGTGTATATAAGGGCCCCTAGAGTTCAACCGCCTGCCGCCCATAGAGACGGTTAGTGTGTAGGCGTCGACAGCGGCCGTTGGTAAGGCGCGACGAGCGGTGCCTACCAGCGACGCGTCAGCGTTGTACAAGCAGTTTTCCGACTGCCAAGCCTCCACTCGCATCGCTAGGAACTTCGGAAGCACTGCATGCCGCTCAAACCTTATGTTATGAGTTGAAAGGTAACATGTTTAGCTAAAAAAAAATTAAGACGAAATCGAACTTAGGCCATAGATTTTGAAAATATGTTGTGCTATATTAGGTTTGTCTTAGGAATCAATAATCAGTGCCTTTAGGTACCTATATAAAGCTTAGCCGCTAGACCGGTTATCATATGTGTTCATTATTTAGAGTATAATTAAGCAAGTTACTTATAAACACTCTAAGGTTCACTATGATTGTGTAAAAGTAATTATTAAATGATCTTGCCGTATGGTGACAGCATATAATAATCTGTCACTCCACTTCGTCCCATGGGTTTCGTAAGAGGTGACTATGAAGAAGGCCAGAAATAATTCTTGGCCTCTGATAGATTGATGGTTCCATTACGCATTACATTAAGTTGAGGCACTGAGGGCCTGTTTGCATCCCAGACGGAACAATGTATGGCCTAAAAATAATGTCCGGATGTTTGTCCTTGTGCAATTTGTGTATAAACTGCCTCCACGATACAGTGGAAAGTCCTAGTGAGGTGAAAAACGTAATCTGAAGAGATAAAAAATAATAGATAACAGTGAACGACTTCGTATATTTCAGGTGTAAAATAGCCAGATTGATATCAGTGAGAGCCAAAGACATTTAAGTAGAATAGTATACCTATATATTTAAATCTCTTTGGTGAGAGCATTGTGAAGTTTGTGGGATATTTGGTAATCGAAATTTTTGCCAAATGCGATGATTACGCCAAATCCTTCCTGCAATTTGACATCATTGGACTTACGGTACATTAAAGAAGAATAGAAGAAGGAATTATTGAATAAACAAGTTAATAATAACAGTAGCACTTAATTTATACGTGAGCCACGCTGCAGTTACATATATTATAGTTGTAGCACGAATGGGTTAGCTCGACCGGGGAAGGACCACGCTGTCACTGAATACCAGCGCAAAATAGCAGCTTAATGATGAGAACCGGAGCCGACTTCAAAAAAGAGGAAGTACTCAATTAGACTGTACAATATGTTCCTTTTTTATGTGTATTAATTACCTTATAACTTTTTTCTGAGTGAACCGATTTCGATGATTCTTTTTTATTTGAAAGCTGGTGCTTCTCATGTGGTCCCATATAAATTTCTCTAATAGATTTCGAGTTATTCTTAATAATTTATATTGAAGGCGGTTGTACAAAATTTCAAATTATGTTTAACGAGTACTTCCGTTTTAGTCTTCAGGAGCTCTGCATCTCGACTTTTAATCGAGGATGGATGTAGTGTATGTTAGCCACTTACCATCAGGTATGTATACCACCCTTGTGTGTCACACTTATTCTATAAAAAAAATGAGTCTCTAAACAAAAACGTGCCGCTCTAAAAAATTGTATATTATATTATTTCTTTACAATATATATAAAAATAATCTTGTTATAATCGTGTTTTCCTTTGTACCTGTACACATCTTCGTATGAATTACCACGTACAAAAACGCCCTCGTGGCTTATGTCAGCGTGAATGTCGATGATGAAATCCAGCTGCAATGTCTGCAATGATATTATAAGATTTATACATGTATTTTTAAATTAATTACAATCTAATATATAAAAAATAATGCTTGTTTGTTCGTATTTTATGCGCTGCCGTACCGTTCATCAGATTGCGCTAAAACCATATTATTTATTCTGTATAAGCATAGTACAATTAACTTACAGTAGGTGGCGCGCGTATCGTACCAACAAATTTATTTGAATGTCATATATATCACTCAATTTAAATGAATGTGTTGTTTATATTATTCCTAATTAAACAAACCAAATTAAAAACGATATTTATACAATAATTTCTTCTGCGGCAGCAATGTGCTGGGTACCAGTATATAAATAAGTATTCGCTGCCATTCTGTGAAGGTCTTTATGGTTTACTAGTTGGTAGGTACTTTCCTGCCTTGGAATCAGTTTAGGTAGGTAATACTCTCTTACCTTAAAAGTTAGTAAAAATTGCCCCGTGTACATCCGCTCGATAAAATAAAATGATGTGTCGTTTCGGTGGCTGACCGCTAAGCTTCTTACGCAGAGTCTACATCATCTGAAGATGCCTTGTGTAGAGGCGAAACACGTGTCGTATTGTAGTCAGTGGTGTGTATTTCCTAGTGTAGTGGTGTTGGGAAAAGTGGTGCTGGGATTAGTGGAGACTGGGATAGTGTACGCAATTGAGGGAGGGCGAGAGGTGCTCTTCAAACTAGGTAAGACACATTTTATTTTATCCAGCGGACGCACGCAAGGTAATTTTTACTAACATTAATATAATGGATTTCCGTAAAGTAACGCCTGATTCTATTAATTAACTCTCTTACCTATTTTTGCCACCAAATAACGTTGCGTGTACTGCTATGTTCCAGTTTGAAGGGTATGGAGAGCCAGTATAATTATAGACCATTAGATATTCCATCTTAGTCCATAGATTGAATACGTATCTGTAGACTTCTTCAGGTGTCTGAGCTGCATACAGTAAGCACTTACCATCGGATGGACAGTAATTTCGTTTGTCACTTTAATTTTATAAAAAAATGTCCAATAATATATTATTAAAAAAGGCTGATGATGAAGAACGTAAATTTGCTGACGAAATAATTTATGTTTACATAAACAGGGTAACAGGACCACTAAGAGTTTCCATTATAATTACAGATTTATTTTAATGTTTTGTTGAATATAAATGTTAATTATACTAAACAAGCTTTTCGCCTCGCGGTTTTATTCGCGTTATATTGCGAAAATTGCAAAGTAAGTAATAATTTATTTTATTTACTTTCAAAAAGTTTTGAGTCAATCGCCCCGTAAAATATAAAGCTTTCTACAAACTTTAAAACCTTATTTCACCTTCTTAGGGGTTGAATTTTCCAAAATCTCCTCAGAATTATACATTTAATATTTCGGGCTGAGCGTTGATAGATGAGTGAGTCACTCAGGACATCTTTTGTTTATAAAACTTTTAATTAAAGATAAAGCTACCTGTAAGCTTTGTTTATAATAAAAATATTTTTCTTATTTTAAAATAAAAATTAATATTATAAATCGTGGGTATAGATGTTATTAATAAAATAAAATAAAATAAATATTTACGATACGATTTGATTTTCTTTTCTCTTATTTGTTCAAATTTGGATACCGTCATATAAATGGGACGTCTGGCAGATAGTAGGCTCTGATATCAGAAATCTAAATAATCTAGATGGAATAGAATGAAATTACGAGTATTTAGATTTCTGTGGCCACGATAAGAGGCACCAAGTTTCTAAAATACCTTTTCAGCAGTTATCTTCCGTATGTGCTCTTTGACGGCGATAAGCTGTGGGTGAGCGAAGGTGGTGGCGCGGTGCCAGCAGCGGTTGAAGTCGGAGCCTAACAGGTCCGAGCGCTGGTTGCCTAGGAATACCCCGTCTGGGTTTAACATCGGCACCATCTAAGTCATGAAATTAAATTTCTTTCGGTATTTGAAGAATTCCTTGATAACATTTTAAAAATCTCGTAAATATACATTATCTTTAAGATTCTTAGATAAGAACCAACTCTTTAATATTGGTATGGATAAATCTCTAGGTACCAGAAAATAAATGCAATGATTTTTTTAAATACGTAAAATAGGTTTAATTATTTACTTGTATGACTATGTGGTCCTTTAGTGCAGATGCGTTCTCTGCAGAACTTACAATGTAATCCAAGAAACCTGTGAAAAGGCACAAATTATATATACTCAACATTTTATTAGGACAATTCAAGTCACCAGTCGGTCATCGCTACCTTGACAAATAAAGGAAGATGGCGGTTCACCTCCATGTGATCTAGCTAGAATAAGAACGACACGTTTCTTTGTTTCGTTGCTTTTTAGTTTTGTAATATTCTCGTCTTTGTTTTCATTTTCCTTTGCATTTAAATCTCCAATCGTGATAAGATCAACTTGACGTTTTTGCTAAAATACGATAAGAAAGATTTTAATTATGTTCTTAAGGTTTGTAGAAAAAGAGGCCGAAACATGAAAGACGGAGATATGGAATATTAATAAAAGTATGGCTGAAAACAAAATTTTGTTTTTGGTCTGATGAAACTTTAAGGCGACCACTAACCCCGGAGCTACCACGGTTTCTCAGTTAGAAAAAGGGCTATTTTATAGTATAAAAGAAGTATCTCCTCGAAATATTATCGATTTCCCAGACATGCATGTTTGCAAGTCTTCCTTTACCACTAAGCACGTAGTGAAAAAGTACTTACTCGTAAAATTGCGATAAATAATTTAGTGGTGACGTCTGGAACCAAACTGATTTGAGGCTTGCTATGAAATTTAAGAATCATTTTAAATACACATAAAGGAAACTTTTATTGTTTCATCACAATGCACGATGAGAAATTTTAATCCTTTGATTACTGCGGTGTGGTTATATAGGAAAATAATTAATTCTCATTTTTTATCAAGGCAGTTTCAAAAGTCAACGAAGGAAAGTCAGATTTCAAATTCAAATACTAGTTGCATATATTAGATATACTCAAATACTACTTACATATACTTGATGTATTTAAATATAACAAAAGCTGCCAAAATATATGTGTAAAAATATATAATAAAATACCTAAAGAATTTAAACTATCAAGCGAAAGACTATATAAGCAACATTTGTATGATTGGTTAAAAATTGAATGCTTTTATGACCTAAAAGATTTTTTAGATTTAAATAATTATAATATTGTCTAAACATTTTAAAATTATAATTTGCATGCTATTATTAGCGAAACACGACTGCACTATATAAATTATTACATCTTTTTATACCGTGATATTTGCAAATAAAGATTTATAATTTAGATTTATGATTTATGATGAAAAACTTCCAAAAATAATATACAATGAAGAAAAACTCCAAAAAAGTAAAAAGTTCCAAAATATGTTCATCTAATACCTTAAGAGATATGAAGCATGGTTAAGTGGAACGCGCGGGTAATATGGCTATGTTTCAAGATATTCTTTAAAATACTTCGTTATTATAATTCTTTATTACGAAATAAATTAAATTTAGCTAAATATTTCTTTAAAGATGTCTCACTAACCAACTTTTACGCACAACAAATTTAATGACGGCTCCGTGGCGCAGTGGCTTAGCAATGAGTTATAGCGCTAAGAGCCTCGGGTTGGAATCTCGCAGGGACCAAGTATTTGTATGGCCTTCCAGTAATTGTTTCGGGTCTGGATGTTTGTCCTTGTGAAATTTATGTATGTAAACTGCCCTCACAGTACAGGAGAAAGTGTGGAGGCAGCGTTTTTATTAAGCAAAAAAAAATTTCGAAATAATTTACGTAATTGCCTTACAGTAGTCTGTGCGATGGTCTTCCTAGTGGCAAAGGTTTGAGCTCGTTTCTCCCAAGTTGCTAAATATTTTTGCAGTCTAGAGTAGGAATAAGGTGCCGCTGCTGCGAACTGATACACGTCTTCTTCACGGTCAAATCCAAAAGCCAAACTCAGGATCTTGCGGCCTCGATGGACCAAAGACTTATGGTAAAATATAAATCTCTTTGGGATTCGTTGCCTAAAATATATATATTTTTTTTTAAATTGAATATCTAATAAAACAAAAAAGTAGTAAAAAGTTTAATAATAAAGTGTCGAATTAGACAACTGTCCTAAAGCAATCATTATTTTTGTACACTCTGAAACCTTCTTGGTTATTGCCGCCGGGGCGGCAGATACGTTCATTAGTTTTTCTTGAAACTGCCGCAGACTTACTGCGGTAGCCAAGCAACAGGCCCCTTATTGTTGAGGGAGTACAGCTGGAGCTCTCCACTCTTTCGTCTTTCTTGGGGCACGCGAAAACACCACACAAACGTCTCTTCATTGGCGTGGTTAATTGGAATAGGTACTAGTCTTTTCTATAGAATAAGGATGACAAACGTACACACAGTCCACCTGGTGGTTAGTGGATGTTGTGACCCATAAACATCCACATCTATCCTCAATGAAGAATCAAAATCTAGATGCGTTGTTACCTCCGAGGACTAAGATATAATGCCTCATTTCCAGTAAAGAGGGTCTCCAGTTCTCTACATTCACCACGTAATATTCGTAAGCGCTACAACAGATATTGTGGTCCCGTATAATTATAGGCCAAAGTTACAAAGTTGACATCCCGGATCGGACTAAAATCATTTATTGAGTTTTTCTTCCATTAAATTCTCAGTAGCAACTCGGAGTCAGGAAGTTGGCGGTGTTTTATTCCTGCGTTTCGGAATGCACGTAAGGTCGTGTGGGAATGACGTCCGATCGGACTTTGAGAGTGAGGGAATAGAGAGTACACCTACGCCTGAACATTTGCTCTTTAATACGTTCCTGGCTTCAGCATCAACTCATCATTGTTGCTTCATGTTTTTCCACTCAATCTTAACGTGCATAACCAGTTTCAAGTCACGTCACGTCGCAACTTCATTGAGAACAAGGGATACTGGCTATGTGTACACTACCAAGATAATACTATTAACTATTAAACAGTTCCTTTAGACCAGGGATACAGAGAGGAGAGGCTTGTGTAAAAGTTATCTCCAGTTTTAGTTTGGTTTTGATATCGTCCGGATGTATATGTATTATGTTTACAAAATACGTTATTTTATTTAATAATCGCACCTCTATTACTAGAACCCTCTCTAAATGAGACATATATTTATTCATACCTGGATATCTGAGACACTGGGTAAGTGGAATACCTCTTTAAGTGAGACAAATTTGCAGGTCCCTTAAGGTCCTAGTTATCTAAGTTTCACTGTACTACTTAAATATTTTGTTATAAAGAGTGACAATTAAATTTAAACTTTAATTAATTGTTTGTGGTGGCCAACTTTGTGATTGTAGAATTTTGTGAGTCGCCGTCCTAAATAATTGTTACTTAAATAAAAAGATAAATAAAAGTAAACAAACAAGTAATAAATGTTGCGCATTTACTCGAAGTTATCTGATGTAGGATGTAGGACAAAGTTTAAGTGAGTTTCGAGTGACTTTACCATTTTTGGCGCGAAGTTGATCTCACTAGCGGTGTCATGTCTGTATCGTACAATGTGCACTCCTTTCCAAAATTTACTATGTTAAATATCACTTTCTGGAACAATATAGTGGAAACTTTTAATTAAATTAATTAGAAAGACACTTAATGCGATTAATAAAAAAAATGTGGTCAATTTTCACCCATGGCGATACTTTCTGAATATTAGGAAACTTGTGTAGAAAAAAATTGTATCATCAGTGTTTGCTCAAATATGCCAACATTTTGCTATTTGTCTTGATAGCACCTAACTCGTGCTCGATGTAACCCCATGAGTAAAGAAACCGACTCCTTACTCTCAGATGTGACGATCATTCGTTAGGCTCGGCGGTCAGGAAAGTATATTAACATCGCAATCAAACTAGTAAGCTAACAATTCTTTTTTACAAAATTTTTGTTTCGTAAAACATTAAAGTTTGTGTCGGAAATGCTTAGCTGATTGAAAAAGTTTCGAAAAATACGGACAGAAAAATTTGGCATGTACAAGCTGCATTAGAATAGAATAGAATAGAATAGAATAATTTTTATTCAATATACATTTGTAATTCTTATTGAAAGTCATTTTTTACTTTACCACCGGTTCGAAAAAAGAAGAACTGTCCTGGGAAGAACCAACAAGAAACCCAGCGGGACTTTTTTTTTCAAATAAATTTTACTAATTCTAACCCCTTCTAAATCCCATCCCTTTTCTTAATAAAAAAAAATTAAAAAAACTTAAAAATAAAAATAAAAATTTTAATATTAAGAAAAGGGGTGGGATGTACGGGCTAGGTGCGTTCTTTGAGCGGCAGATTTTCACAGAGAAGTTTTTATCCAAAAACCATAAAGATTTCTGTGCATTTTAAGACTTGAAAAGGAAAGGAAAAATTTGTCAAAAAAGCTCTCATGAAAATTCACCATGCTGTGTTAGTCTCTACCTTAATGTATGATAGTAAAAATGGTTGTGGCAGAAGAAGCATGAGAGTAAAATAAATGCTGTAATAGTGCGGTCATTGAGAAGTATGTAAGGGCTGACTCTGAATGATAGGGTAAGAAATTGTGTGAGAAGAGAAAATTATGGTTTGTAAGAAGATGTTGTGACCAGGATTATTAAAGGAATGCTTCACTGGTTTGTATATGTAAAAAGAATGAATGGGAGAGCGACAAAGCACACTTATGCTGTAGAAGTGAGTGGCAGAGTCGGCAAGGGACGTTCTAGATGGAAGTTTATCAATCAAATTGGCGATATATTGAAGACTAGCTGTTCCCCGTGATTTCGCCCACGTGTAATTTAGGCGTTTTAATTTTTTTCGCGCGAAACCCAAATTCTGTTCCTAAAATAAAAGTAGCCTAACTTACTCTTTATAACATCAGCTATGTGAAAGTTAAAATCCCGTCAAAATCGATTCAGCCATTTCGGTGATTATCCGAAACAAACAGGCAGACAGACAAAAATTAAATTTTTTTTCTTGTTATAAGTACTGTGTATACTTTCATATGCAATTAGGAAAAAGCTGTTATTTTGACATTCTGAATGAAAACTTAAATTTTATTTATTTGTACCCTTAACCGACGTGTATACGAGTACAGTCCTCGCAGCGTAAGCTGAGCTTTGCATTTGTGTGAGTGCACACAGATAATGTACAGTGGGATACGGCTTGAGGCGCAGCGCGTCCCGCGCATGGTTTAAACCAGTTTATACTGGTTTTTAAAACGCGGCCTGAGGCGCGGCGCATCGTCCACGCGTAGCTTCCCTGCCGCGCACATTCCCCACTTCACCTCTGGTACCGCTAGCAGATAGACGTGTAATTTTTTGTGGTTGTGTTCGAATTTTTTGTGAAATGGCTCCTACTGTAAGTAAATTGACTAAACGACCATTAAGCAGCCAAACAAAAGAAATTTTATACAAATTGAATACGTATTTCAAAGATTTAAACGACAAGGATATGTCAAGTGTCGTTACGTCGGCCCAATTGGTAGCGACATCGACGGGAATTCCGCTGTCAATAATAAAAAAAGGTTTTATTAGAAGGTAAATGTGCTTTGGAAGATGGAAGCAAATTTAAATCTCCGAAAAAACAAGATGCAGGAAAAATATCATTGTGTTCGATGATTTTGATAAAGCGGTAATTCGGAAAATACTTCATAACTTTCACATCACCCACAAACAAGTTCCCACAATGAAAATATTACACGAAAAGTTAAAGGCAGAAATAAATTATCCAGATGCAATTACGTCATTAAGAAAAGAAGTATCTCTATTAGGATTCAAGTGGAAAAGGACAGAAAATAAACCTAGCAAGCTAACAGCATAGCAAAGTGGCGAAGCAATCAGCTTGTAGCGGTTTCTAACGGATGACGTTGAGCAATCAGTTTCAAAATAGGAGGTTCAGATGCCTGGGTGATCAGTAATCGATTGCTGAAAACAGAATTTTAAAATTCAAAACCTTTCTCGAGATAATCGTGGGACAGACGTCGTGAAATCAATAAGTGACTTCGCAAGCTTCGCCACTTAATAATCGCAGAATCCTTATGGAGAAACATGAAATACGATATCTTTGAATAATGTTTCTCATTAAAATTGTCGAATATCGCGCTCAGGGCCACCCAATCGTTTATACTGACGAAACATATATAGACACGTCTCACACTTCGTCGAAATCTTATTCAGATGGAAGCACTTCTGGTTTAAAGAAACCAATTTCTAAGGGAAATCAGTTAGTAATAGTTCATGCCGGCGGAGAGGACGGTTTTATACCCAATGCCCTACTCATGTTCAAGGCAAACCAAAAAAGTGGTGATTATCATTATAATATGAACACCGAGAATTACACAAAATGGTTGCAAACGCAGCTAATTCCAAATTTAAAACCGAATAGTGTTGTGGTGGTTGACAATGCATCATACCACAATTCGTATCAAAATCCCGCTCCCAATTCAAACCATCGTAAACAAGCTATGATTGATTGGCTCAGATATCGAAATATCGATCACTCTGGATCGATGCTTAAACCACAACTTTATGAGTTGATACTACAAAACAAAGCAAGATTTGTTGAATATAAAATTGATAATTTGCTCCAAGAACATGGTCACAGCGTTCTACGTCTACCACCCTACCACCCTGATTTCAATCCTATTGAAAATATATGGGCAATGGTAAAAGGATATGTAGCTAAAAAAACGTATATGACCACTATAATGAGATTAACAAAGGAAAAAGTTGACGCGATCACTGTACAAGAGTGGAAAAATGTTTGTGACCGTGCAGTCAAAGAAGAAAAAGCATTTGATGGTCGAGACGCCGCTATCGACGGTTTATCGGAGCGATTCATTATTAACACAGGATCTGATGAGTCATCAGACGAGAGTGAAAATGGAGATGCAATGAGCGGAGAAGAAGAATTATAATATTGTTATGTAGTTTATTACTGTTATTACTATAATTTAGGATAATCAAAATATAAGCATTAACTTTTAATAAAACATTGATTTTTTACTAACTGTACTTTTGGCGATCACTCACACAAATGCAAAGCTCAGCTTACGCCGCGAGGACTGTATGTACGTATGGATGTAAGAGAAGCGGGGTAAATGTGTCAGGATCATGCCAAATGTACGTTGTTTCGACTGGTATTCAAAGAGGCATATTAAAGCGGAATATTCTTCGCAGCGTAAAAAGTACATTTAAGCTATTAGTTTTTTACTACTTATCTTATTAATAGCGAGCTGTCAGTCGAGCATGAAGATCATGGAAAACAAGTAATAGACGTAACCCATTTTAAAATGTATCCAACATACCTGATCCTGCTTAACATTCTCCACTGTGAAATTGAACCAGAACCTTGCTCTTGGTCGGCAGGTATCCGGCCTGACATACAAGTCGTACTCGAGCTCGGTAATGTGGTCGGCGCGACCCAGGTTCCCACACTCGAATGCCGCGTCGAAACACAGGTGGCCGCGCTTCGCTTTACCGCTGTGCCCTGGCGGGCGAACTATCAGCCGATTCAGATTGCCTAGTCCACCTTCTTCGTCACTTTCCTCGCTATCTGTTCGTGTGCAGAAAAATTTCAAGTTTAAGTTCGTTTACAAAGGTTTAAAGATATATAGTAAACAACACAGGTAGTAATTATATCGTTAATTACCTAATAACAAGAAGACAATGTTCAATCGAAAGTAGTTTCATATTAAAGGAGAAATTATAATGAAAATTGAAAGATTAAGAGCTTGTTCTTATTATTAATGTCCTTAATAATACTAGCTATAAATTGGAAAGGTATAAGCTAATGTAATTTGTAACATAATATGTTAAATAAGTTAAAAAAATTAAAGTTTAGAATTTTTAATAAGCACAGAAATCAAGCATTGCAATAAGTAATAAAACTTTTTAAATCTGCATATTATAAAAAATTTAAGAGTAGTAAAAAGCTTAAAGTACAGTTCAAATTTCGTTTATATATGGTTGTATGATCTAGGTCTTCTACCAAGGCTTCCATTCTGTATACTAAACAGGCGAAAGGCTCAAGTGTTTCTCAAATCTATCTATAGGTATAATAACGGATAAATTGGATACAAAACCCTTAGCGAATGCACCAGCGTTACCTTAGGTAAATCGTTTACCTGACACGCTATCCGTTCGTATATTTTATGGCTTGTCAATTGAATGCTATAAATAACATTTTCCTTAAGTGTTGATGGGATATGTTTATGTATCGTTAGTTTTCGGCTACCGATACCGCATGCCGGTGGAAAATAGAATGGTGGAACTTTTCATTTTTTTATTTGAAATCACACTTGGTTTTTCTTTTGTATCGTGGAGGCGTTTTTCATATATAAACACATGTACCAACACTCAGAACCTACATACGTATACGCATATGCCTTAAACAATATCTTCTGTAAGGCAATGTTGTGCATTGTGCATGTTGGAACCTACGCGTATTACACCAATACCTTGAACAATATCCGAATGCGTAGCATGCGTCCGTTAGACATCACGAAAGCGGAAATACGTGTTGTATTCAAGGCACACTACATAAAAGACCTATCAGTTCAATTTACTTTTTTTCATATATTAATTAGGTGATCCTCTATGCTGATTTCTACCTAGCATACGTATTTAGATTATTATGTACACACATATTTTTTTGGAGCGAAGTTCCTTATCGGACGGTACGGGTTTGGCGGACGGGAGCTAGGCGACAAAAGTGTAAGATTTTTCGTCACTACCCCTTGTGTCATAGTGTATTTTATTTTAAATGACGCTTCATTTTAATAGACGCTAGTAGAAATACATTTATTTGTATTTGTTAATCAATAATATAATACGTTTATCAATAATACGGAACTTCGTTCCAACCGAAAGTTCCACGACCCTCACGCATGTTTTTTTTATAGGGGAGGGGGCAAACGAGCAAGCGGCTCACCTGATGGTAACCTATTACCTATTTAACCTATCACCTATTTATATCTATATAAAAATTAAAATTTTATAAAAAAATCAGATACCAGCTAAATTGTGGTACCATGTTAAGTTGAAGCACAAAGTTGAAATGACTTGCAATCTGCATGCTTTAAAATAATGTGTCTACAGCACGCGAACACTAACTAATTATTTAAAACATATTTTTATAGGGATTCTCTCAACAACAGTTACATACTTAAAAAATGCCTATTTCAAGTAACGAACTGTTAGAATAACAGCAAAAAAAAAATCTTTTAAAAAGTTAACAACAAAAAACTTTTAAAATGAGATGAGAGTGAATTTGGACCATGCGCGCATACCGACACCTAAAAACGACACCATGAAGTTGTTACGATGCGCGCACACACTGGCACCTAAAAGCGACAACTTCAGTGGGTAATTGTCTCTTTAAGTTTTTTTGTTTTGTTACGCTAAAGAAGTATAACTTACTACGTGCGTACCTAAGTACACACACACACACACACACACACACACACACACACGCACACGCACGCACGCACGCACGCACGCACGCACGCACGCACGCACGCACGCACGCACGCACGCCCGCACGCACGCACGCACGCACTGTTTTTTTTTAATAAACTGGAGTAATAAATGAACTTACGGTCCACCTGATGGTAAGTGGCTACTGCAGCCCAAGGACACTCGAAGGTCGAAGCAAACTTCAAACAAAGAAGGCTACAGATGCGTTGTCCCTCTGAGGACTAAGATGTACAATGTCGTACAGTCTGTAGTTATAGAATTTAGAATAATTTTTATTCAACATAGATTATTACATAATACTCATTGAAAGTCATTTTTTTATTTACCACTGGTCCGGAAAATAACTCTGTCCTGGGAAGAACCACCGAGAAACCCAGCGGGACATTTTTTTTAAACATATGTCACTACAATCATTTTTGTTTTGTTTGTACAAATTTTAAAATGACTTTTAATAGAACCAGCATGGTGGCGATCACCTCATTCCCAGGGGTTTTTTTCACTTATGTATTCTTTGATATAGAACCTTTAGAGCGGCACACAGCATTGCACGCACTACTATTTGATGGCAGAAATATGTAATAGGGTGGTGGCTACTAAACAGGGGGACTCCTAAGTAGATAAGCGGTAATATTAAAAAATTTGTACTACCGACTTCAATATAAAATATTAAGGGTAACTCAAAAACTACTGATCGGACCTTGATCAAATTTATGCGGGACCATTTGAGAAGTATACTCTTTGAAACAAAAAAAGAAATTTCCAAATCGGTTCAGGCGTCTTTGAGTAATAGAGAGAACCGCCTCCTTTTTGAAGTCGGTTGAAAAGGAGTTCTATCACCTAGTTTCTGATTTACCACGTGAAGGAAAACAAGGAAACCTGCTTTACTGAAGAATATAATAAAACCATTAAATAATATAATCAACCGCTACAAATGTTTGCTACGGGCGTAGTCATTTATATTAATTACTCTTTGGCTACGGGAAAACTAAACACGTTCCCAGCGCAATTTTTAAGCAACACCCACCGCAGTGCACTATGCGCTGGGCCATTTTCTGGCGCTAGGAATGCCTCCATGTTTCATTTGTGGTAAATGGTACTATTAGCTGCTAAATTTTATTCCCTACTTAGCTAAATTTTATTCGGAAATACATTAGCTTAACTCTTTGCAAAGATTTGTGAGTTAATATTCACAACGGATCGATAGGGTGTGGGGCTTTGTAAAATGTGAGCGTCCTTGCTTCAAACTTACATTTTTATATTTGGAAATGGCTATTTAATAGCTTTCATTTGACCCATATTGTTGCAATATCAAAATATAACATTGTTTATTTCCCTTCTTTTTATGTGTGGTAGAGCCACGCTGCAGCTATATTAGCAGTATAGTTGTAGCACGAATGGGTCGACTCGACCGGGGAAGCCACGCTCTTACAGAATACCAGCGTAAAATAGCAGCTTAACGCTGATGTGTTTCGTATGGTGAGTGTAGAGAACAGGAGAGCCTTCTTACTGGAAAAGAGGCAATCCATCTTAGTCCTCACGGGTGACAATGCATCTGCATTTTGATTATTTATTGAGGATAGATGTAGATATCTTTGGGTCACAGCAACCTTACCAACAGGTGGACTGTGTGCTCGTTTGTCACTATATCCTATAAAACTGACATCAAAAAGGAGGAAGTACTCAATTCGACTGTATGTTTCTTTATGTGTGTTTTGATGATTCTTTTTTATTTGAAGGCTGGTACTTCTCATGTGGTTATATAAAAATTTTATCAAGGTCCGATCAGTAGTTTGTGAGCTATCCTTAATAATTTATATTGGTTGTACAATTTTTTTTATTTTACCACTTGTTATATTCGAAGACGCCATATTTAAATTATATATCTACCCAACGTCACCTCCAAAACTAAGACGAATCTATCGATACCTCATGTATCAGAATCTGCTTTTGAAAGCTGTTTAGGCTACAGAGTGTGCCAAAGAACATACATTTATACATAATACATACAATTTACTCGAATAAGTGGTAAAATTTAAAATTTTGTGCAACCGACTTCAATATAAATGAAATGAGAACATCATCAATGTTGTGGCAGTCAATTAAATACGCATTATTAAGGACAATTCATAAACTACTGGTCAGATCTTGATTAAATTTATATGGGACCACATAAGAAGCACCAGCTTTCAAATAAAAAGAATCATCGAAGTCGGTTCACCTAGAAAATATTCTGAGGTAACACACAAAAGAAAAGAAATACAGTCGAATTGAGAACCTCTTCCGTTTTTTGAAGTCGGTGAAAACATTTTTTTGGGTCATTCGGATAAAAAGTTAAGTAAATTTTTTCTCCGCTCCTCTATTCATGGTAATTTTGCTAAACAACGGTCGCTTATATGCTGTTAAGTTTTTGTTGCTTAAATAATAATTGGCTTGCTTCTAATGTACTTGTTGTTACATAATATTAAGTAGGTATATAAATAAAATTGTCTATTACTACGAACTTTCGACAATATGTAAAAATCTTACCTGACATTGTAGAGTTTCAGACCATAATGTTAAAATTTTGTTGAATGCTTTTTGAGAGACTTACACAAAGTAAAGCCAAACTGAGACTTTAATGTTTAACATGCACTTCAACTTGAAAGTTAGAAATCCAAACGAATTTGTTCTTTAGTCAAGATGTTTTCGTCCTTTGTCTTCTGCAGAGGTAACACTGCCGTTGCCACGTTACAGGGCTTAGCGTCATTTTGTGTTATAATAATAATGAAAATATAATTATATGCTTAACGAAAAGTTGCCTTAACCTAAACATATTACGGTAGTTGCTTAGCAACTATTATATCTAATTTATAGCTAAAGTGAACCTAAAGTAGCACCTAGCTAGCGTATCAAGCTAAATGTAGAATATCTGAAAAATAGAACAATCGGCATACAGTCCACCTGACGGGGTAAGTGGATGCTGTGGCCCATAGACTCCTATACCTAGCTCGATTAAGAACTAAAATGTGGATGCGTTGTACCCTTGAGGACTAAGAAAGTTCTCAGAGAAAGTAAAAACCAGTAAAAAGGGTCTCTGGCCATAAGAAACACAGCAGCATTAAGGTGCTATTTTACGCTGGTATTCTGTAAAAGCGTGGCTTATCCATTCGAGCTATGAGGAGAACTATAATATAGTTAATGCATAGCTCTACCACATATAAAATAATTAGTTATTTTGTTATATATACTTCTTTTGGTAATATGTTTTATATATTACCTTGTAACTCGTCAATAGTTTACTACTGGCCAAAAGCCGTGTAGACATTTTCCACCATTGGCTTATATTAAAAGATTCGTTCAATACATTCAATCAAGCGCAAACAAGCAGCGATATTATGTCCGGAGCAAAAAATGCTCGTATTTCATATTAAACTAAAACGTAGTGTTTATATACTCTTTGATCTCTTTTTATATGTTTTTCATATTATTAGGGGGTTACGAACTATAGAAGGATGTCTGAGTTGTAACATAAGTATTTTTGAGTGCGCAGGAAATTCTCAGGCATGCATGAGTACATATTTAACGAGATATTTTTATTTGTGTTCGCCCGTAGCTAGTCCTTGAATCTGGTGATCTGCGATGGTTATCACATTATCGTATAAGCTCGATTCTTAGCACACATAACTACAAGAATGGGTCATATATTTTGATATTTTCTTAATAATTGTCGCTTCCAAAGAAAATGTCACTATTGAACAAACTAATAAGATACAGCTATACGGTTTTTTTTAGTTTTAGGAATGTATTGGAGTGTAGTTGCGGGTCCAGTATAATAAGTACACTTCAGGCGTAAGAATCATCACCAAATTTTGTTTTTAAAGTTTCACAAGAGGCGACCATGCGAAGTGTCAGATAGATCTTGCCAAGTGGGGCGTTAAAGCATCTTCTACACAATGGGGCTAGCCCACCGTACACGGTAGGACAGGTCAGCTTAGAAGTGTAATGTTATGGCATAATGCTGAAGTACGAATGTATACTTTGAATGTTACTCTAAATAGACGTTTAAGTTGTAGGTTCGCATGATTTGTGTTGTGGATGAAACAGATTTTAGTTTATGAGGCTACACGACTCGCGCAATTTCAAGGTACAGTAAAGGTACAAGCACCTTTGAATTGCGGTTCATCCTACTTCCAATCTTATTTAAGCATTTTATCGGTTGTGGGTGAATATTTCATAATTATTGCGTTTTTGTAAAGGTCATGTACTGTTTGTCGTTCGTTGTGTAAAAAAATTTACATTAGTGTGCTTATGAAAAAAAAAACTTTTTTTACATTAAAACGACAAACGAGGTAATAGTCCATCTTATGATAAGTGATTAATGCAATTTTTGGGCACCCGTAACTAACTACAACTTCAGAAAATTATAGATGCGTTATCAATTATCACCCTGAGAACTAAGATAAAATTTCTTACAGCCTGTAATTAAAGGACACGAATCTACACTACCTTCAAGCCGGAACATAACACTGGATGAATTGCTGATTACCAGCAGATATAGGTGATAGTATAGGTACTCAAACGGACCCTTAGGTAGGAAAGGCCTACCATCTAGTAGATAGCATCCCGTTGTGGATAATAACTAGGATATCATGTTTAAATAAAACTAATTTTACGGATTTTATCGCGTATATTAACTTATTTTACTTTCCCGACGTTTCAAGCACTTTACAGCACCCATGGTCACGGGGGGGACTGAGGTGTATGACGTCCCAATGTCATAGTTAACCACGGCTACCTTCAGATTAAAAATTATTAACTTTTGTTCCGATCTACGCAGTATGAACTTACAGTATCATGAAGTCTTGCAGTTGTATGCTTGGGTTGGGATTTAATTTTATTAATTATGGGATCCCAAGCAGATGGTAGCACCCAGCCATCTTCTCTATTGAAATTAGGATGTTTTTTGATTTCAATAGCCTCGCGAATCATCCTTGGAAGGAATCGGTGTTCTTTAGCGAGGATTTGTGGTCTATCAAATCTAATGTAGTGACGGGGGCGATCCTGTACGTGTTCACAGACTGCAGACTTCTGAAGTCTTTTATATATAAATGAACAAACCATAATTCTGAAAAATCTTTATCGCACACGATGTACAAATCACCAACATTAAAACTTAAGTTTTCCCACAAAAATTGAATTAAATCCGAGTGGTTTTAAAAGTTTGTCAGTTGCTGGTTCCATTTATGTTCCATTTATAAAAATATGATACGCCTTCTAACGGAATTGTTAAGAGATAGTAGGTGGTGTGTTTCTAAGTTATAAATATTAAAGTGTGGCCCCTTGTGTACCTGCGGGGGTCACATTACCACCTTCTCCTCTAATTATTTTGCGATCAAAGACAAACCGACATTAATAAAAATACATAGAAAGAGGAAAAAGAAATAAAATTATACAACTATAATCGATGGGGAAGAAAGTTTCTTGTGTGGCAGCTTCGTAACGTTGTGCGAAGTGTAGAGCGGTCTTCCACTGGATGGAGTGAAGAGAGGAATTGGTAGCAGATGCATAAAAGTCGATGGATCCAGATGGCTCATTACAGTGCTTTGTGGCATTCCTTGGGGGGGGGGGGGGCGCTTAAGTTCAGCAGTGGACTTGTGAAGGGATGTAATGAATGAATGAATACAATTACAGATATGAATACTTTTTTATTGTGTATTATAAATATTAATACAGCCATGCTCAATAACGTATTCAAGGCGAAATATCGCCCTCATATCCAACACCGAACAAAGCTCAACATACATATAACCCGTTATAAGTAAAACTACGTTTAAAATGTCACAATAACAACACTACATTTAATTTATAGCTGGATAATATTTACACCTAATGTTTTCTTATCTAAATATAAAGAAGAACAAAAATAGAGAAGTAAAAATTTTGGCTTTAAAAATAAAGTTCACATTATGAAAATACAAAATTTATTTGATTAAGCGATAATAACATATTTTTGTTCATCTCTGGTAAATTTACATGAAATGTACTATGTCTTTACAACAATAATTACTTATTTTACGATAAAATAAAAGAAAAATTATTAATACTGTAGATTTTCGGAATTAAATTTGAAATTGGAAAGCATAAACTTTATTGAATTGGAGCAGTGATGGAGAGTGACCGCAAATTTTGAAATGAACAATAACGAAAACACGTCATTACCTACTATGGAAGAGACAAATATCTAGCAGTAGATTCATAGATAATACACTATATACCAGAGAAGTTGGTTATTCAGTTGCTAATGAAGAGTAATATTATTAGCTAACAATGCATACATATTAAATACTAAACAAAGTTCTTATAACAATCCCTTTTCTTAAAATAGGACAGCGGATGACACAATGAATGTTTAAGAATTGCATATTCTACGATATTTGCTTTCTTACCCTTAAAATTTTTACATTACACATAATAGAATGCCTTATCTTTTTTATGTTTCTTGTAGTATTGTAAATCATTGTTTAAAGCACATCCAAAACACTTATAATATTGTTAGACACACTTTCCTAAGTAGCACATAGGTTGGTTAAAAGTTAAAATTAACCCTGAAATTTCTTAACACATTATACTTAGGTATAATAAGGTTCTTTCTATAAGTGAGATTATTTGGGGACGTGTTATAATTTATTGCTAAACACTCATGATAATATTGCCTTGGAGAAAAACATTTAATTTCAAATCCTGCATTCACAATATCGTTCGAATACGTGAGATATTGTTTTATGATTTACGTGCAAGTATCTATACCGTGTATTACATTAATATTGTAAATCTTGATTGTACCACAATGTCTGCTATTCAATAACAATTCAGATATATTTGCATTGCAAGCTGGGAGTAATGTCTTATCACGCCTGATCTCCTTCTGTGTAGTGAGAAGGACCTTCAGCAGAGCAGACTGAATCTTCTGGTGTTCGCGAAGCATCTCCGGCTTCGCTGGCTTCCGCCATACTAGCACTGCCACCAGTTTTGTTTTTGCCGCCACGACGCGCTTGTAGTGCCTGTATGTAAATTAGAGGTGAAATTTTTGTATGTCAATCACTTGTTTTGTATCATTTAATATCGTTCTCATTCTATATTCGATATCTGTATACTATATTAAGTCGTGCATTGTACTTATAAGTAAAATAGTGATTACAGTCTCTTTGCCTATACTAAGAGTGTTTTAAATAACGTTAGATATGTTAGATAAACATATAAAATATATAAGTAGACATATTTTAGCAATTACAAAACATACATTTAGAAAAAAAGACAACATGGAAAAGCATGTGTTTTTTACTAATTTAGCTGACGTTACAATTAATAATTAAGAAGAAGTATTAAAAATCAGAGCTATAAAATTACGACATATTAATCGCCAATGTTATGTCGTCCGCTTTAAGGCAGTTTTATCCATACTCTTCACGACCGACGTACACAAAAAAGCAGATAAATTACGGATCACAGCATACAGGCGAAAGTGTGACAGGATGGTGCTGTGCAAGTCGGTGCTTCGCCAGGCGGGACTTCCACAGGGGCATGCGGGACCACATTTCTTCTCATGCGGTACATTGTACTCCTTTCTTACCTTTTCTCGGCTGCCTTTTTTCTAAAGTCGGAGAGGGATGGAATATGAAACATTTAATTAATGAAAATGATTGTTTGTTAAATATTAATACAGAAAAGGGTACGAAATATCTAAGGTTACTTGTATTTGTATCTAATATCGCAAGCATGTTATACACGTAATATTAAATTCTTTAGTAAGAAGGAAGGGGATATATTTGTTTAAGTAAGGCGAGGAAGGAAAACGGGTCGGAAACTGAAACCATATTATAAAGAAAGGAAATAAAAAATCCATATGAAAAAAGTTAAAAGTAGTACTAAGTTATACTAGTAATTGTTAAGTTATTAATAAAAAATATCAATTTCGAGTTGTCCAACGTTTCCAGGAAACGGAATCAAACCTTCTCAGTGCAGTTGCATATCTCTTCAACCTCTTCATCTTGAGTCTACAACTCGTAGATCAAGGACTAAGCGCTCGCCGTCAACTTCGCAGTACGCAACAACTCGAATTCGATATCCGCCAGGACCACTCCAAATAGCATTTGTCATTTTAAGAGCTAATTTATCATATTGTACTCGGCGGTAAAGGAAAACATCGTAGGGAACCTGTTCGTTTAAAAAAATATTTCGCAGACATGTGAAACCCACCAACATCGTAAACGCAAACCGTCGCAGAAATGAAGGAGCACAGGATTGAGACATATATTACATTATCTTTACTTTTGCTTTGACGCCATGGAAGGAGCTGAAACTGGTTTGTAGGAATTACAAAAAAAAAAAAAATATGATAAAAGTCTGCTATAGTCTATTTACATAATATTTTTTTATTCTTTTACACCTTTGGCCAGTGTGGTGTGTACACATAACCTCTATTTTCAGAACTTTCAATCCTATAATGTTCGTTATATTCTAATCTGAAGTAACCTACTCAGTAAAGGCTATTTTTAGATTTTTTGACATTTTTACTGACATCATTTAAAAAGTTAAGGCGGGGCTGATTTTCTTTCAAAATGCTGTCAAATAAATTCTGCCACTCGGGGCCATAGGCCTAACTTGATAATAGAAAATCTGTGTAATATGCACTGATGTGTACATTACACAAGAAACATTTTTATCAAGAAAAATGGGAGATGTATCGCATGCCGAATCGATTCAATTCCAACGAAAAACTAAAAGTAGATATAAAGATTACAATTCTATTATAAATATACCTGTTTGCTATTTATTGCGTGTGAAGTTAACACATTTTTATTTATGCACTGCTGTAAACGAACGGCTTCTGTACTACTACTACATTTAGAAGACATTAAGATTTTTGTGACTAAGCCATTTTCATTGCTCACAAGGTATATAATACAAGTTTGTAGGTATTAAAATAAATATTTAGTGTTTGAAACACGACAAAGTTACAGTACAAACCGACAACAGTCTCAGTACATTTCAATTACCGAGGTATTTACTTACTTATTCGCGTTTAGTCCTCCGATAATACATACAGAAAATTTGGTGCTATCTGTAGTACAAAACAGGTATTTAATCAAAAACCTTAAATGTGAAATAGTGGTAATCAAATTATAAATCCCAACGAATCACTATTGGAACTAAGCAGAGCCTTTTAGTCTATTATCGCCATGCTCAAATTCTCCAATTCCCCAAAACTTTCTTTCTCAGACATTCTTCTATACATTTTCCTTCATTTTTCTTCACCGCCGAGGAAGTGATATATCAGCACTTATGATGAATTAAATTTTAATAAACAACATTACAGTAATCAACTACATTGTATTGGCGGTGATCGAACCCGGGTTGCTTGCAAACTGTGAAATTTATGGTAAGCGCCAGCAGGGCTTAGTGCTTTCTATCAAAGGTCCCACACGTTTAGTATCATGTATTTTTTAAATAACGTATGTTTATACAGGGTTATTTTTCAAACACTAGCCATAAGCTTAAACATATAAACAATGATTACCGTTATTGCAGTTTTTGAAAATACGAGTAAATAAGGCTTCTCATTTTATTTGGAATTATCCCAAATTGAATGAGATCTATGGGCAACAATTACGCGTACGCGCGCTCCTCTGTGTGCGATTCAATTCACAACGTTTATGACCGTCCGCCGTACCGCCGACTGAACGACTCCTATATGCCCGTATCCGTGCGTAGTAAAATAGTAGGCGTAAGATATTTTTGAATGACAATCAGTTAAAATAATTCATTATCACGCATTCTGAATTTAAAAGATAAAAAGGACAGAATGTTTAAGATACTTTTAAATTAATTTTTCTTCATTGTTCGTCTATATTACTTATTCTGTACCTTCTCTGCAAATTTGGCCGTATATTGCAAAATGTAGCCTGTATACAGTAGGTGTAGAAGAAGTGAATTATCCAGCACCATACAGTCTAACTGCCACCTTGGAAAGCCTATTCTTATTTATTATCAAAATTATAAATAAACTTCGGGGTATTCGCTTTTACAGACCCTGTAACTGCGTCCAAGATCGTGGAAAAGAAGTTAAAGAGTAAAATTATTACCAACTTTGCCATTTTTGACTTTCTAGAAACGTTTAGTGTTACCCTTATAGGAGATATGTTTATTTGTTATCGAATTTTGCTTGCCATAAAAATGTTAATAAGTAGTATATTATAATGATTAGTACAGATATGGTTTGTCCTAGGTCCTACTAAAGCAAAGTTACGCATTGATGATAAAATAGTAGAAGATGAGTATCACAAATACTTATATATCCATTTAATTGTAAAAAATGAACCGGTGACATCAATTAACTAATTGATAGCAATTATTTTGTCCTATTTTATCATAAAACGTACTTGTAACGAGAACCGTCTGTGAGGTGGCTTCCTGCCTCCCCGGCGCTTGCTGATGTGGGGATTGTCACGACGCAGTGTCTTGTTGCGAAGGATTTCTAGCTGCACATACAACCGCTTTAACTCTGCGCGAACTTCTTCTGAAGTTGGTTCTTCTTCGCCTTCAGCGCCAAAACCCTCCGCAGGGCCACGGCGAGACACCTGGGAAGTATGTTTTAGCAAAATTGAGATATCATTCACTAATTACATTTGTTAACATTCGTAAGGTGAAATATTATGACATTTATTTTAAAATATCATTGTTATTTTGTTACCTCTGAGAACCGAAGGATTTCATGGGCCTTTAGAGTTAACAAGAAACCAAGACACTGTATGTTTTCATCCAATTGATTCCATTTTATATTGGATCAAAAGGAAATGAGAAAGCTGACAAAACGAATACAATAACTTATAGTGAAGGAAGGGATATAACTTATTCATCGTTAGTCTGAAACGTTGAGCTAGAAAATACTGCTTTAAAAACTGGCAAAGATTTACTTATGTAAGTTTAATTTAATATTATAATATTGATAAATACTATGTGGTATATGGAGCGTCAACTGTGAGCCTCCTCAAATTCTTTTGTTCTTAATTACAAGACTGAGTGGGCAACGAAATGTGTTTATTCATTAACACGTTTTGATGCCTACTCATCTTCAAAGTAAACTTCAATAAGTTTAACTTTTAATGTAAAAATACGATTCTCATTTAAATGAGTTATGCGGAAACCAGGATGGCCATATTTTCTATTGGAATCTGCTCAAAAAGAAAATAGTAGACAAATTCTGAAGCGTCGATATTGATTGAATAAATTAAATGTAGGTGCGTGCATTCGACTCAATATTGGTGGCTCTTACATCAAATCCAGCATGACGTGTTCTTTAATTTAAATTTAATATTTTTATTTGTATTAATTTAATACACGTTAGCGTACGTTGGAACTGTTATCGTCACATAATGAGTACCTAAATGAAGTAAGAAAGTAGAAATCGGGAGACAACCCACCTTAACCTACATGCGTGGCGTGGGTTAATCATGCGCTGCTGTAACCACTCCATACTAACACACCATTAGGTGGACTATGAGCTCATCTGTTAAGTCTCTACAGAGGGATAGGTGGAGACTATGGACTATTTTCTATGAACTATTTTCACGACCCTGACTCACATGTCTCGCCTCTTACACATTTATTCGTTTCTTACTGTTAAGATATAAAAGAAAATTACGAAGTACTTACCTCTTGTGCGAGTGAGCGTGTTCGGTATCCGTGCCAGAGGCGCGGCGCTAGCACGCAGGCGAGTGCGGCCCCGGCGGACAGGTGAGCGCGCGCTGTGGCAGCCAGTGGCGCGCTCTCCGGCGCCGCGCCCACCAGCGCTGCCAAGCGCCACGCGACGCCACATAAACCCTCTGCCCACAGCGCCGCCGCAAGCCAACCTCGCTCCTGTTTATATAAACCACTATTCACGCCCAGTCGTGACTTACGGCGAGATCTGCGATTCGTGGTGATGACTCTGAGTAAGTTATACCGCCCGGCCTTTCCTTTCTTTTACAACGGATCTACTTATCATATGCACGCGATACATTGCCTTTGTAGATTATTTAGCCGAAAGCCTTAAAACCCTAAGAAATTCAGTTCAAGATTGGCTACAATTAATAATATACTATATCCATAATACACTTGGACGGCCAGCGTAAGTACACAAGTATGACCCCTGTGCGTCGCCATGCCAGTCGCGCTCTCGCTCATTCGTAACAGTTAGTTCAATTTCGGTGCTTGCAAGAAAACGAGAAAAAACCGAAGCAGAAAGTTTTTCTGAAAGTGGTTTAGTCAAAGCTTCGGTTGGACAGATTTTTTTTAATCTTGAGTGTAGAACAACCACTCCCTTTATCTTATTAAGGCCGGCCACATACATACGGAATTCTGTTTCGGGATTGCGTTTCGGAATTCCAAACGGGTCGGCCCCACACACATACGGATTTCCGTTTTGCCCGCAAAATTTAGAGCGGAAAACTACCGTACGTGTGTGACGGTTCATAGATTTTATATAAACTTGCTGCGTTCGGAATCCCGAAACGGAATTCAGTTCAAGATTGGCTACAATATAGTATGTGGCAATATAGTATGTGGCCGGCCTTAATGTTGTTTCCAGGATTTAGCTACGGCATTAACAATTAATTTACACAGCTTCTTTTGTAAATATAGATATTTATGTTTAATTACAATTGATTGATTTATAATCCAGCAATGTAGTTTTCATAATATTACAACGCTGCTAGACGTGAGCTGACGACGGAATCATACGCCGCCATAAACTAATAAAAATTATTAGGTCATTTGCTGCGAAAACGTGTGACAGACTGGTCCAGCGTGAAATTTATCGTATCGAGTTTTATCAAAATAGCATTGATGTCGGTAAAGCTGTACCTGAAAGGGTACGTTGGCGTTGCGGGCGGCGTGCGCAGTGCGCAAGCCGGCGGCGAGCAACAGCAGCTCGGCGGCGGCCGTCACGTGGTGCCAGGCCGCGTGCGCGCAGCCCGCCGCACACGTCGCCGTCGCTGTGAACGCCGCCAGGTAGCAACACGTACCCAGCACCATCGCGCCGAGCACGCGCAACACCTCAAACAACCAATTAGATAACGTGGTAGAGCCATGCTGAAGCTAAATTATGGTTATAGCACGAATGGGTCGGCTTGATCGAACTCACGGAATACCAGCGTAAATTAACAGCTTAATCCTGCTGTGTTTGGTATGGTGAGTGTAGAGAACCGGAGACTCTTTTTACTAGAAACGAGTCATTAGTCCTTAGGGGAAACAACGTATCTGCATTTTAATTCGTAATCGAGGATAGATGTAGATGTCTATGGGCCACAGCAGCCACTTACCATCAGGTTGACTGTGTGCTCGTTTGTCACCATATCCTATAAGAAAACCAATAGTTTTATCATCCTACTGCCACACAATTATTGTCAGATATGTATATGTTACGAGCTACACCCAATTTCAGGATAAAATTGTGTTCCTAAGCCCGACAGCAACTGGAATATAACTACAAGATGTTCGCAGCGTCGGGGTAGCCCAAGGTCCGGCCTGGCCGTACCTCAACCTACTGTCGCTGATATTACTCAATAACTGCTTTCGTATTTTGTTATTTCCATAGAATTTTAATATATTTTTTCCCGTTAAGTACGTTATCAGGACCATTATTCAAACGTATAGAAATAACTTTTTTTTAAAAACTCGAAAAATATTTTTTTTTTTTTTTTTTTTTATATGAGAGGGGGCAAACGAGCATGCGGCTCACCTGATGGTAAGTGACTACCGCCGCCCATGAACAACCGCAACACCAGGGGAATTGCAGATGCGTTGCCGGCCTTTTAAAAAGGAGTAGGCTCTTTTCTTGAAGGTCCCTAAGTCGTATCGGTCCGGAAAAATCCCTGGTGGTAAACTATTCCACAAGGAAGTTGTGCGAGGAAGAAAACATCTTCTAAATCGCACAGTGGTGGACCGCCAATCATCCAGATGGTGTGGATGGTATCGGGAGTTCTGCCGCGATGTGCGTTCGTGAAATTTGTCGGCTGGGATTAATCCGAACAATTCCTCAGAGCACTCCCCATGGTAGATGCGAAAGAAAATGCAAAGAGATGCAACATCTCTTCGCAGTGCCAATGAATCGAGCCGATCGGAAAGGGCTCGGTCGTCGACGATTCGAGCCGCTCTGCGCTGGATGCGGTCAAGTGGAAGGAGCTGGCACTGGGGAGCCCCTGCCCAGAGATGGGAACAGTATTCCATGTGAGGCCGAACCTGCGCCTTGTAAAGTTGCAGGCGGTGTGCCGGCATGAAATACTGTCCCGCTCTGCTGAGCACGCCAAGCTTTTTAGAGGCCAATTTGGCCTTCTCTTCCAAGTGACCACGAAACTGCACGTCACTCGATATGTCGACTCCGAGGATACCGATACTGGCTGAGGCAAGAAGGGGAGTGCCTTGAAACTGAGGAGATACGACAAAGGGGTTCTTTTTAGCGGTAAACGCGCAAACTTGTGTCTTCTGAGGATTAAACTGGACTAGATTTAGTCGCCCCCAATCCGAGACTTTGTCCAGCAAAGACTCGACTTCAGACACAAGTTTGTTCCGGTACTCGGCGACGTTTTCCCGAGAAATATTGGCCCGGCCGGTGTATAGAGCATCACCAGTGCTGTCATCCGCATAGCAATGAATGTTACCAGTTAGCAACATATCATTGATATGCAGAAGAAACAGCGTTGGTGATAGCACACAGCCTTGTGGAACACCAGCGTTAATAGGCTTGTAGTCAGAACATGCACCGTCTACAACGACCTTGATGCTCCGATCTGCAAGAAAGCTGGTGATCCAATTGCACAATTTCTCGGGAAGCCCATAGGAAGGCAGCTTTGAAAGAAGCGCTTTGTGCCAAACCCGATCAAAGGCCTTCGCAATGTCCAGACTAACGGCCAACGCCTCCCCCTTGGACTCTACTGCCTCCGCCCATCTATGGGTCAGGTAGACAAGAAGATCACCAGCTGATCGACACCGACGAAAACCGTATTGGCGGTCACTAATCAGCTGGTGATCCTCAAGGTACCGGATGAGCTGGCAGTTAATAATGGATTCCATTATTTTGGAGAACAAGGAGGTGATCGCGATAGGCCTATAGTTGGACGGGTCTGAGCGGTCGCCTTTTTTAGGGATCGGGTGGACAAAAGCTGTCTTCCATGAATTCGGGACTACGCCTTGGGAGTAGGAGTACCGGAAAAGACGCGTTAGGACCGGTGCCAACTCCGGAGCACACGTCCTCAGCACAATTGGGGGGATTCCGTCAGGCCCACTCGACTTCTGGATGTCCAGGGAGAGCAGTGCTTTGCGAACCGAGCGCTGTGAGAACAGCACATCCGGCATGGAGCACTCACACCGCGGGATGGTCGGCGGTGTTTTCCCCCCGTCATCAAGAGTCGAGTTGGACGCAAAAAGGGAGCCTAAAAGGTCGGCTTTGTCTTTTGCGTCATGGGCCAGTGAGTCATCCTCCCTGTGCAGAGATGGTAGTGATGGCTTACAGAAATTCCCTTGGACAGCCTTGGCGAGAGACCAGAATGCACGGGTTCCCGAAGGAAGGCGAACTAGTCTCTCGCCAATTCTGCCTATGTGCTCTGACTTTGCCTTGGCAATAACTCTTTTGAAGGACCTGGAGGCGAAGTTATACTTCTTTTTAAGTGTGCTGGTGTTTACATCCCGAGTCACCGAAGCTGCAGCCCAGGCTTGATAACACTCCTGCTTACTGCGCAATGCAGTCTTACAGGAGCGACCAAACCAAGGCTGAGATCTGCCTCCGATGGGTACCACAGATGATGGAATAAATAGTTCCATTCCCTGTAGCACCACATCAGTGACAGAGTCAGCAACAGCACTGGGATCATCCGGCGAGAAGCAAACCCGCCCCCATGGGTAGGATGCAAAGAAAGACCGCATTCCGTCCCAATCCGCCGACCTGTAATGCCAAACACGGCGGCAACCTGCAGAACGCAACCGCGAAGGGAGCGTGAGTGGCACCATACTCCGGATCAGACAATGGTCCGAAGAGCCGAGAGGGGCATCGACGGAAACCTGATATCCGTCCGGATGAGAGGTCAGCAGAAGGTCCAACAGGGAAGGTGTATGATCCTCCACATCTGGAATCCGCGTAGGCGAAGTAACCAGTTGTGTCAGACCATATGCCAAGGCAAAGTCATAAACAGATCTCCCCGCATGATCGGTTAAACGTGAACCGAGCCATTCGGCATGGTGGGCGTTAAAATCGCCAAGGATCACGATCTCTGCGGATGGGACCTGTTGTAGCAAGGAATCTGTAGCCATTTGGACGTGGTCGATGAGTCGGTCTGTTTCGGCATTACCGCTATGGGACCTATAGAGGCACCCGTAGACGCGCGGATGGTCGTCGCTGTCTACGCGTAGCCAAAGGATGGACAGGTCCGAACCTTCAAGACTGCCGAGGCGTCGAGAACAGATGTCCTCTCTAACATACACGCAAACTCCAGCCCGAGGCACAAAGGAGTGCTCCAATTTGTACCCCGGGTAGGAGAGATACGAAATATCAGTCGGAGAGGAAACCTGCGTCTCGGTCAAAAAGAGCAAGGCCGGCTTCGCCGTCTCGAGATGGTAGTGGACGGCGTTTAGGTTACAGCGAAGTCCCCTGATGTTGCAGAAATTCACGGATAGCGTGGCAGGGGTCGCCTTGGTATTGTTGCTCAGCTTGCCCCGAGCAGTTTTGTTTTTGAGCGGAATTTTGCCCCCCCCAGAATACGCGGGGCAGCCTGAGCACCCACGCTCAGGATTGGAATAACATGGTCGTGGATGCTCAGCGAGGGATTCTCCAGGGGTACTGGTACCCTCCTGGGGTAGTCTATTGTCTAATTCCGCTACCATGTTGATGGGGGGGGGGGGGGGGGGAATTGGGCCTCCGGCCACCTGCACTCACCAGGCGAAACGCAGAAGCAGAGCCTCTACTTCACGCCGGTATTCTGTGAGGTCGTGGTACCAACCCGGCTCGAGCCGGCCCATACGTGCAGCAGCAAAAAACTGCTGCAGGGCTCTACCACCGTAATATTAAATATATTATATTTAAAAAAAAATTGTATGCAAATTGTATGTGGTTTTATTACCTCTGCATTGTCTGGGGAGAAAGAGGATTTTCAAAGACCCCGCTTTACTTAGCTTTAGCATCGTCTACTGCCATGTAGGAAATTTTTTTTTTAAATAAAATAAAAAAAAGAGGATCGAGTTTAAAGTTATTTCTATAGGTTTGAATACTGATCTTGATAACGTACTTAACGGGAACCACAGGGTTTTTGTTACATGTTGTACAGCTGATCCTATCAGACTCAGAAAAAAATGGGACTTCACTCGAACCTAAACGCCGTCCACTACCATCTTGAGACGGCGAAGCCGGCCTTGCTCTTTCTGACCGAGACGCAGGTGTCCTCTCCGGCTGATACTTCGTATCTCTCCTACCCGGGGTACAAATTGGAGCACTCCTTTGTGCCTCGGGCTGGAGTTTGCGTGTATGTCAGAGAGGACATCTGTTCTCGACGCCTCGGCAGTCTTGAAGGTTCGGACCTGTCCATCCTTGGGCTACGCGTAGACAGCGACGACCATCCGCGCGTCTACGTGTGCCTCTATAGGTCCCATAGCGGTAATGCCGAAACAGACCGACTCATTGACCACGTCCAAATGGCTACAGATTCCTTGCTACAACAGGTCCCATCCGCAGAGATCGTGATCCTTGGCGATTTTAACGCCCACCACGCCGAATGGCTCGGTTCACGTTTAACCGATCATGCGGGGAGATCTGTTTATGACTTTGCCTTGGCATATGGTCTGACACAACTGGTTACATCGCCTACGCGGATTCCAGATGTTGAGGATCATACACCTTCCCTGTTGGACCTTCTGCTGACCTCTCATCCGGACGGATATCAGGTTTCCGTCGATGCCCCTCTTGGCTCTTCGGACCATTGTCTGATCCGGAGTGTGGTGCCACTCACGCTCCCCTTGCGGTTGCGTTCTGCAGGTTGCCGCCGTGTTAGGCATTACAGGTCGGCGGATTGGGACGGAATGCGGTCTTTCTTTGCTTTCTACCCATGGGGGCGGGTTTGCTTCTCGCCGGATGATCCCAGCGCTGTTGCTGACACTGTCACTGATGTGGTGCTACAGGGAATGGAACTATTTATTCCATCATCTGTGGTACCCATCGGAGGCAGATCTCAGCCTTGGTTTGGTCGCTCCTGTAAGACTGCTTTACGCAGTAAACAGGAGTGTTATCAAGCCTGGGCTGCGGCTTCGGCGACTCGGGATTTAAACACCAGCATACTTAAAAAGAAGTATAACTTCGCCTCCTGGTTCTTCAAAAGAGTTATTGCCAAGGCAAAGTCAGAGCACATAGGCAGAATTGGCGAGAAACTAGTTCGCCTTCCTTCGGGAACCCGTGCATTCTGGTCTCTCGCCAAGGCTGTCCAAGGGAATTTCTGTAAGCCATCACTACCATCTCTGCACAGGGAGGACGACTCACTGGCCCACGACGCAAAAGAGAAGGCCGACCTTTTAGGCTCCCTTTTTGCGTCCAACTCGACTGTTGATGACGGGGGGAACACACCGCCGACCATCCCGCAGTGTGAGTGCTCCATGCCGGATGTGCGGTTCTCACAGCACTCGGTTCGCAGAGCACTCCTCAAGCACAAGTCGAGTGGGCCTGACGGAATCCCTCCAATTGTGCTGAGGACGTGTGCTCCGGAGTTGGCACCGGTTCTAACGCCTCTTTTCCGGTACTCCTACTCCCTAGGCGTAGTCCCGAAATCATGGAAGACAGCTTTTGTCCACCCGATCCCTAAAAAAGCCGACTGCTCAGACCAGTCCAACTACAGGCCTATCGCCATCACCCCCTTGTTCTCCAAAATAATGGAATCCGTTATAAACTGCCACCTCATGCGGTACCTTGAGGATCATCAGCTGATTAGTGACCACCAGTACGGTTTTTGTCGGGGTCGATCAACTGGTGATCTTCTGGTCTACTTAACTCATAGATGGGCGGAGGCAGTAGAGTCCAAGGGGGAGGCATTGGCCGTTAGTTTGGACATTGCGAAGGCCTTCAATCGGGTTTGGCACAAAGCGCTTCTTTCGAAGCTCCCTTCCTATGGGCTTCCCGAGAAATTATGCAATTGCATCACCAGCTTTCTTGCAGATCGGAGCATCAAGGTCGTTGTAGACGGTGCATGCTCCGACTACAAGCCTATTAACGCTGGTGTTCCACAAGGCTGCGTGCTATCACCAACGCTGTTTCTTCTGCATATCAATGATATGTTGCAAGCCGGTAGCATTCATTGCTATGCGGATGACAGCACTGGTGATGCTCTATACACCAGCCGTGCCAATATTCTCGGGAAAACGTCACCGACTACCGGAACAAACTTGTGTCTGAAGTCGAGTCTTTGCTGGACAAAGTCTCGGATTGGGGGCGACTAAATCTAGTCCAGTTTAATCCTCAGAAGACACAAGTTTGCGCGTTTACCGCTAAAAAGAACCCCTTTGTCGTATCTCCTCAGTTTCAAGGTACTCCCCTTGTTGCCTCAGCCAGTATCGGAATCCTCGGCGTCGATATATCGAGTAACGTGCTGTTTCGTGGTAACTTGGAAGAGAAGGCCAAATTGGCCTCTAAAAAGCTTGGCGTGCTCAGCAGAGCGGGACAGTATTTCATGCCGGCTCAACGCCTGCAACTTTACAAGGCGCAGGTTCGGCCTCACATGGAATACTGTTCCCATCTCTGGGCTGGGGCTCCCCAGTGCCAGCTCCTTCCACTTGACCGCATCCAGCGCAGAGCGGCTCGAATCGTCGACGACCGAGTCCTTTCCGATCGGCTCGACTCATTGGCACTGCGAAGAGATGTTGCATCTCTTAGCATTTTCTTTCGCATTTACCATGGGGAGTGCTCTGAGGAATTAGTCGGATTAATCCCAGCCGCCAAATTTCACGAACGCACATCGCGGCAGAACTCCCGATACCATCCACACCATCTGGATGATTGGCGGTCCACCACTGTGCGATTTAGAAGATATTTTCTTCCTCGCACAACTTCCTTGTGCAATAGTTTACCACCAGCGATTTTTCCGGACCGATACGACTTAGGGATCTTCAAGAAAATAGCCTACTCCTTTTTAAAAGGCCGGCAACGCATCTTTTTTTTTTTTATAGGAGAGGGTGCAAACGAGCATGCGGCTCACCTGATGGTAAGTGACTACCGCCGCCCATGAACAACTGCAACACCAGGGGAATCGCAGATGCGTTGCCGGCCTTTTAAAAAGGAGTACGCTCTTTTCTTGAAGGTCCCTAAGTCGTATCGGTCCGGAAAAATCGCTGATGGTAATCGATTCCACAAGGAGGTCGTGCGAGGAAGAAAACATCTTCTAAATCGCACAGTGGTGGACCGCCAATCATCCAGATGGTGTGGATGGTATCGGGAGTTCTGCCGCGATGTGCGTTCGTGAAATTTGGCGGCTGGGATTAATCCGAACAATTCCTCAGAGCACTCCCCATGGTAGATGCGAAAGAAAATGCAAAGGGATGCAACATCTCTTCGCAGTGCCAATGAATCGAGCCGATCGGAAAGGGCTCGGTCGTCGACAATTCGAGCCGCTCTGCGTTGGATGCGGTCAAGTGGAAGGAGCTGGCACTGGGGAGCCCCTGCCCAGAGATGGGAACAGTATTTTCCATGTGAGGCCGAACTTGCGCCTTGTAAAGTAGCAGGCGGTGTGTCGGCATGAAATACTGTCCCGCTCTGCTGAGCACGCCAAGCTTTTTAGAGGCCAATTTGGCCTTCCCTTCCAAGTGACCACGAAACTGCACGTCACTCGATATGTCGACTCCGAGGATACCGATACTGGCTGAGGCAAGAAGGGGACAGGGTCGCGAACTCATCCTTGTTTAATTTTTTTTTCAGAAATAAACAATGAAGTGTTCAAAATTTTGGCAATATGTGTGACAATATGAAGGCTTTTACTTTCCTGTTATACGATATGCTAATCACAGGAAATAAAATTACCAATAATTCAAAAGTAATTATTGCTTGTTCAATCAAATCGAATTAGTTTTCTATATCAAAATATATAATAATATATATAAATAAGAGAGTTAAATAATAATATTTTGTAAGTTATAAAAGGTACGTGTATGTAATGAAATATTCATACTTCGGCATCCCTTGGAGTCCACCGATGAGCTTTCCTTGTTCGGAACTCCGCCAGTAACACCCACAGCCGCAGTACTACGGAGCCGTAGCACGCTACGAAGCCGAGTTCACGTAGCCACGCGCCGACCACGCAGCGCCACTTCGAGTCTGATATGAATTGCGAAGCCGCCTAGAAAATTGAATATTGAGGAAACTGTTTATAACTTTGTACACTTTTAATTTTTTTTTATAGAATAAAAGTGACAAGTGAGCACATAGTGTAACTCATAATAAGTGGATGCATTGGCCCATAGGCAACTACATCTGTCTTCGATCAAAATGTGTTGTCAGCTCTGATGATTAAGATGGAATGCTCCGTATCCAGTAAAAAGCTTCGGTTCGCTACACATACATAACATATATATATCCTCCTCATCGATTTCGAATGAATGAACCCTGATATGGCTTGCTAGGCCGAACTTGGTCTTAAAAGCTCTTTGACATGCGTGGCAGTAGAGTTGTCCAGCCGAGTTGTAGGTGTATGTGTAGGATTTTACACTTTTGAAGCTGGCCGATCGCCAAGATGACCTTTCTGTTGCAAACTCCTCCCAACACGCGGGGTCAATAGCATAAGCGTTAAGGTGTCTTTTGAACATATCCTTATAGCCCAAATGCTGGCCACCGTGCTTTCGTTTACCTTCCGCCATCTCTGAGTAGAAAACAGCTTTTGGTAAACGTCGGTCATCCATGCGAAGGACATGCCCATACCATATCTGACGTAGCATTAAAAGAGCTTCCATACCGTGCATCCCAGAGCGACGCAGAACCGCAGAGTTAGGAACATGGTCCTGCCACTTGATCTTTAATAGACTTTTTAGACACCTTAGGTGGAGAGATATATATCTTTATATATAAAAATTACGTGTCACATTGTTTGTCCGCGATGAACTCCTAAACTACTAAACTGATTGCAATGAAATTTTGCACACTGTGTGCAGTTTGGTCCATCTGGAGAGATAGGATAGTTTTTATCCCGATAAGTGACCCTCAGTATTTTTCATTGCGAATTTAAGGATTTTTATAGTACCGAGGTTCGCCGCTAAGGACAGTACAACGTCTGCCTGGCCAGCTAGTATATATATATATATATATATATATATATATATATATATATATATATATATATATTCAATTAATATTCTTTTGAATCGAAGACCCTTTTTCCTAAAAACCTCCTCAGTCCTCTATGAAGCTACCTATGAAGGTACACATCAGAATTTTAGATCGAGAGTAAATGTAGATGTCTATAGGCCACGGCATCTATTTACCGACACGGTACTGTGGACTGTGTGTTCGTTTATCACCCTTATTCTATAATGGTACGTTTAGATTATCGGACTCGCTGAGTTATTCGTGGACGAGTACGTCGCATTTACATAATTCATCTGTATTCATTCAACGTACATTTTTCAAACATGAATGACGTGCGTCTCGTTGTTATGGCATTGTGTACTTAACTTTTATAGAATCACTAATATTTTGAATGAAAAAAGATGAAAAGGCGGCAGTAGTGGAAATAGTATAAAGTAGAATATATAAAAGTAGTATCATTCTTGTGAAATTTATAATTTCAGCTGAACTGAGTACATACTTAATTTTTTTTTAAATTTTGTCAAAGGCATATATGTAAACGCGTCGTACTCGTTCACGAATAACTTGGCGAGTTGCTCGTGCCGATAATCTAAACGTGACAAAACATAAGAATATGTTGTAACCAGGATTAAGAAAGGAATGTTCAGTGGTTTGGGTACGTAGAGAAATTAATGAGGAAAGAGTGATAAAGCGGCAAAGGTCATCCTAGATGAAAGTTTATCGACTTCTTAACCCATCTTCAATATATTCACCCATTGGGTGATATATTGAAGATGGGTTAAGAATATCCTTAAATGACGAGCATGTATTTAAATTTTATATTATGGATGTGATAGAAAGGAGAGATATGTGATACGATTATACGTGGTAAAGCCATGCTGCAGCTGTGTATTTGTGTCACGAATGGGTCGGCTCGACCGGGGAAGGATCACGCTCTCACAGAATACCAGCTTAAAATAGCAGCTTGACACTGCTGTGTTTCGTATGGTGACTGTAAAGAACTGGAGACCCATTTTAGTGGAAAAGAGGCATTCCATCTCAGTCCTCACGAGTGACGACGCATCTGTATTTTGATTCTTTATTGGATTCTTTATTGAGGATAAATATAGATGTCTATGGGTCACAGCAACCAGTGAAGTAGAGGTTTGCCTCTGCGTTTCGCTTGGTGAGTGCAGGTGGCCGGAGGCCCTTTTTACTGGAAATGAGGCATTCCATCTTAGTCCTCACGGGTGACAACGCATCTACATTTTGATTTGTACTAGAGGATAGATGTAGATGTCTATGGGCCGCAGCAACCACTTACCATCAGTTGGACAGTGTGTTCGTTTGTCACCCTATCCTATAAAAAATAGGATCATGCCAAATGGAAGACCCCAATCTCAGCGTAATCCTCTGGGTGACAGGTATTAGAGTTCATCTATGCTATAGTATTTTTCTGTGTTAATATATAAATGATCTAGATTACTTTTGTGTTTTCAACTTACGGAGGCATACATCAGCATGGCTCCCAGAAGCACTACTTCCAGTACTGTCCACATGCCCATAGCAACTGCCTGTAAAAAAAATAACTGTTATTAGTTTAACTTGTAATCAACTTATCTTTCTCTTTGACCGATTTCCGAATACTCGAAGTTATAAACTGCGTAGGAGATATTACTCGTATAGCGCCACACGGTACACGTAAGCATAGAGGCAATCTTTTGTCCTGACGTTACCGAGCCAAGGTCAATTGGGGTGTAGCTTCAAAAATAATTTAGATTTAATAATTTAAGTGTGGCTCGAGCTGGAATTGAATTCAAGTTTCGGGGCAGGCTGGCTCTCTCACTACTATCCTTTTAATTATAAACATAACCAAAATATAAAAATTTTTGCAATGTAGATAATCAGCAGTACTATTGTGTAACTGTGTTGGAAATCGTGGTTGGTTTCGTTTTGACGTTTTACCTTTGGTTTGGTTGTTTTGTGTAAGTGCATTAATATTGATAAATGTCTTAATAATTTATTCTAGCATTTGTTGTATGTCCTCTTTAAGTGATAGATTCTTTTATCATGGAATTTATTTTTAACGCCCACCTCGGTCGCCCAGGTATTTTAATCATAATGATAAAACATAACGCAGTTGCGAAGTTATTTCTACCGGTAAGCGTTTCCCACCACAGTTACACAATAGCATAGTTGGTCTGTAATCTTTACCATTCATGTTCAGACCATTATCGATACGGGAATTCCCCAGAACCCTACCGCTAGCCAGGCTCTTCTTGTGGAAGTGAATGTGATGATGAAATAAAAGAAAATATTGACAAGCGTCAACATGAAACAAAATGGAATATTTATATGTGGTAGAGCCATGCTGCAGCTATATTAGTAGTATAGTTGTAGCAAGAATTTGACTGGCCTGTTGGTCTAGTGGTTAGTGACCCTGACTGCTACGCCGGAGGTCGTGGGTTCGATTCCCACCCAGGACAAATGTTTGTGTGATGAGCACGATCATTTGTTCAGTGTCTGGGTGTAATTTATCTATAATATTTATGTATTTAGAAATATATAAGTATGTTTATCAGTTGTCTAGTACCCATAACACAAGCTCTGCTTAGCTTGGGACTAGATGGCGTTGTTTGATAGTTGTGGAATATTATAAAATATTATTATAAGAATGGGTCGACTCGACCGAGGAAGGACTGCGCTCTCACAGAATGCCAGTGTAAAATGGCAGCTTGACACTGCTGTGTTTCGTATGGTGAGTGTAGAGAACCGGATACCCTTTTGATTGGAATAGAGGCATTCCATCTTAGTCCTCAGGGCTGACAACGCACCTGCATTTTGATTCGCAAACGAAGATAGATGTAGATATCTATGGGTCGCAGCAACCACTTACCATCAGCTGGACTATGTGCTGGTTTATCGTTTATCTCTCGTTTATCCTATAAAAAATATGGTTATGAGCAGCAGCATGGCGTGGGAGAGCTCTTCGAAGAAAGTCTTAACAGATGGTAGTAGTTCTGAAAAAGTATATGTATGTAGATATGTTAAAACTACAGATGATGTTACTATAATTTAACGGTATCTAAATGTTTCTACTATGGGAGATATCGATTTAAAAAGTGTAGTTATTGTACGGGGTGATGGTGAAGAACAATAAGCAGCGGCTCACTTTGCACTTTCGTTTTTTGAAAATGACGATTCCTATGATAATGCAGAGAAGCACGCCGGCGAGGTCAGCGGGTAGAAGCACTACGCGGTACGCGTCGGCGAGGCACGCGGCGCCGTTGGACGCGCACGGCACGCAGCGGAGCCCCGCCCCTGCCCCCATCCCTTCGTCCATCCCCACCCCAGCCTCTACCCGGAGTGCCAGCACGCGTATCCAGCCTCCGCCATCGGCGTGCCAGTGATCCGCGCGGCACTTGCACTGGTACTAATAAAATGGAGAATGCAACTCTGAAATGATGCTGGGAAGCCATTGTTAAAAAATAAAAACAAAATGCATGAGTGTCGTGGAACACTCGGTTGGAACGAAGTTTCTTTCCTAGTATATTATTATTGATAAAGGTATTATATTATTGATTAACAAATACAAATAAATTAATTACCAGCGTCTATAATATTAAAATGAACCGTCATTTAAAATAAAATAATATTTCTTTCATGGCAAGATAAGAAAAAGTGCGAGGGAGATGGACATTATTCCATCTCGCTTCTTTATACGTCGTCTACACTACGTCAGAAGAGGTCGTGCGTGGTGACGGAAAAATCTTACACTTTTTGTCGCCTAGCCCCCATCCGCCAAATCCGTACCGACCGATAAAGAACTTCGTTCTAAAAACTATAAAATATATTTATGAGGGGTGATAATAAGGCTGGATCTTTTCTTGCTCATAGGCTAAGTGTCATTAGGCGAGGAAACGCGGCCTACGTTAATGGTACTACAACGCGAGGAGTAGGATTGTACGAGTATGATAATTTAAGTTTTTAGTTTTAGTTTTTTTTTATCATGATAATTGTTAATACGAGGGCGAGACAAAATGTTCGCGAAATGAAGGGGTTAGAGAAGGGAGGGGGATTTTTTTTAATTTTCACTACTTGGTGACTTAATACAATTATAAATACCAAATTTCAGCTAGATCGGTTCGTTAACCTTTGAGATAAAAGGGGATAAACATGGCAATCGGAAAATGGACATTAACTATGGAGAAAATTAAGTTTCATGCCGTCATTAAGTTCCTTACTTAGCAAGGAAAACCGCCACATATAATTATAGCAGAGATGTCATCTGTATAAAGAGACTCTTGCCCTGGAAAAACGATGATTTATAAGTGGCATTGCCTTTGCAAGCAAGGTAGAAAGTCAATTGAAGACCTTTTTTGTCAGACACTGTCGAAAAAGTTAAAAAACGTGTTCTTGAAGATGTTCGTCTGAAGAAAAAACAGATAGCAGAAATGACTGGAGTAACTAGGGCTGTTTTAAACATTCTCCGTGACCATCTCGGTTTGTCTATGGTCAGTGCAAGATGGGTGCGAAGAATGCTCACACTGCACGGTTTCGAAAACAGCAGCGGTCGAGTGTACGCGCGATTTATTGACCCAGTGTAGTGAGAACAGGGACAAAATTATGAACCGAAATGTGACTGGGGACGAAACTTGGCTTTATCATATGAACTTGAGCTACAGGTGTCCATGCAGAGGCTAAAACAGGCGCAGCACCGCCTAAGAAGTTCAAGAGGTCACAATCGACTGGATAGACTATGGCTTCAGTTTTTTGTTGAGCAGAGGTGATTTTATTGACCGATTATAAAGATAAAGATGTCAATATCACGGGACAGTATTATGCTACGTTATTAGAAAAATTAAAAGATGTGATTAAAGAGAAAAGATGGGGAAGGTGGTTTCGAGATGTGCTCCTTTTGCACTAAAACGCACCCGTTCACAAGTATTATGTTGTGATAGCTTCCTTCAACAAGTGCGGCTTCGAAACTTTAAACTATCCTCCCTATAGTCTACAAGACGACGCACCCGTTCACAAGAGTCATGTTGTGATAGTTTCCTTACACAAGTGAGGCTTTGAAACTTTAATCTATCCTCCCTATAGCCTAGATTAGGCCCTCCGGATTATTATTAGTTCCCAAATGTGAAAAAAGAGCTTCGGGGAAAGAAATAAAAAATATATATAAGTTATTTGTACATTATGTGAATTATATTAAGGTAAATGGAGAATATATCAAAAAGGAAAAATAATTTCATGTTTAATCTCACCCCCTTTTCCTATCATTCCGCGAATTTTTTGACCTCCTACCATGAAAAAAAAATAACTGAGAACAACTGTGTCGTGTTTAAACATTTTAGATTTCATTACGAGAAAAGTTTAGTAAAATAACAGTATAGTAAAGTTAAAGTCATCCTGCTTTGTTTGGTTTGCGGGTGTAAGTTTTTTTATAGTTTTTTTATACCTCCAAGCGCCTCTCGGGCGATCCGAAGATTGGAATAGCTTGACATTCTGTCGTGGCGGGGTCGCAAGGTGGTGGTCCCCCGAGCCAGTCGTACATGGCTTCCTCGCAAGGCACCGCGGGTAGACGGCGAAAGATCGCTGCTGCGGCTCTCATTGGCCCCGCGCCCCTCGCCGCCGCAGCCCCGCTCCACCAGCTCCCGCCGTCGTTCTCGCAGGAAAACCACGCGTTCGACCAGATGACGGCGCTCGCGTTCCAGGCGGATGCGAGCGTGCGCCAGAAGAGTTGTAAAGCGACCGAGTTGTTCTGTTGAAAAACAAAGAGGCGAGAGGGGTCTGTACGGTACAGAACACCCAAATGCAGCTGCGGGGCTCCTAGAGCTACGGCCGCGGGTGGCGGATGGAGGGGCGCGCGTGCGGCCGCCCGCGCCAACGCCGCCGCGCGCTCCTCGTCCGCCGCGCCAGCCTCCACTAGCTCGGACAGAGCTCGCGCCGTTTGTGCTGCTATAGCCTCGTGCTCTCGTATGTGCTGAAAAATCACGATATTTGAGTAGAACATGTTTATCTGTCTATTTATATATACTAATCTTTATCATCATCATTACAACCCTTCACAAGTCCACTGCTGAAATGGTACGACCTGGTAGTCGCAGATGCATTAGATTCAGAACCGTGCTTTTAGTATGTTTGGGTGGGGATCTAGTCTTGATGTGAACTTGTGATTGACTGTGAATTTGATGATGAAATTGACGGTAGAGTCATTTTCATACATAATGACAGCCCGTACTTTCTTCCATATTTGAAAGGGTTATCGAATGGATCGTAATTCTACTCCAGCTAATTAACCGTGGGCATGGTTCACATGTTTTCTATTTTTTATTTTTAAATATTGAATCACAAACGAGCTCATGGTCCAATGATGTTAAGTGATTAATGTGGCATATAGAGGCCACTCATTATCCTCGACTATAAAAAGGTAACTAACTATTTTCTTCGTTTTAAAAGATATAATATTTAGATTATTTTGGGCAAGAAATGCAAGTTTTATAAATAAAATTGAAAATATATGAAGTGTCTGCCGCTGTAAAATATATATTCTTTTTTAATTTGAAAAGCTACTAATACACCTTAAGTACAAAAGCTCTTAGATCTCTTTGAAAGTGAAATGAATTAAGTGAAAAGCGTCGCGTAAGACAAACCATTGGTGTTGGGTACCTGCGTTCTACAAGAGCGCTACTAAGTCAGGGCTCGGCCCGGCTAAAACTAATTTCCTTCAATTCGGGAGACGCACGTGCCTTATTTCACCTTTTTCCAATAAAGGCAATTCTGAAAATCTTCATTGAATACGTAATACTTTATTTTACAATAATACCTATCTACACATTTTATACGATTTATTGATTAATGAAGACTCAACTGTATTTACTTTTTAACCGAGTTTAAATAAAAAGAGAAGGTTATAACAACATGTAAGAAAAACCCAGCATCGTATTCGAACGTATAGAAATAACTTTAATTAAGAAAAACCGTCCATAAAAATTAAATTAAAATTAAATAAATTTTTATTTGAACACTGGCGATCCGCCCCGCCCAGCCCAGCACGGGCGATTTATGGATCTCGACAACAGTGCCACCTTACGGCTCCAAATATAAATCTAAACCATCTAGGGTTCCATTCAAACACATCCACATATTTTATCAAAATCCGTTGCGTGGTTTTAAACATCTAAGCGTACAGACGGCGGGAAGTTACTTTGTTTTATACTATGTAGAGATTCTATGTGGTTTTATTACCTCTAACTGACACTCGCATCGGTAAAGCAGGGTACAGCAAACACTCTTACTTCCCGATGCAGAGGTATCCATATCCATATGGTTAACAAGAACCATAGGGTTTTTGTTACATGTGGTATATTCGACACACGTATGTTTTTGAAGTGAAACTTCTTTAGAATCGTTCTGATATGTAACGCATTTAAAGGAAAAAGCAACACTAAAAAGAGACAAAATATACATCTATGTGATTTAGCCTGCGAGAGAATGAGATAGAATATATACTTAATTTAATGAAGCGGAAGAGGTTTATTGTTTGTTCAACACGCTAATCTCTGGAACTAATATATGTAGTCCGATTTAATAAATTCTTTTTGTGTATGATATACAGATTCATGAGGAATAGTATAGGCTCTAGCATTAGGCTACGCCTTTCAGCTAGCCTTAAATATTCAGTTTTGTGAAGCAAGTCGGAAGGAAAAGTGCTCAAGAACAGCTTTATTCGCGTACGCTGGCTTAATGGTTACTGATACGTAAATACAATGTTCTACAAAAATATAGATATTTCCTCCATCTAAAAAAAGTTTGCGACACCATAGACCTATTTCTTATATATAAGACACAATAAGGTATTTTGAGACAAAAAATATTTAAAATAAAAAGTGATTTATGAGCGTTATTATTAGGCATGACATATTAATCCTTACGAACGAAAGTTACTTCATCATGTAGACAATTTTATGAAGATAAACTTTGATTGAAAGTCATTCTTTTTAATTTTACCAGTGGTGGGACTTTTTTTTAAATCACAATTTACAATATAATTTACAATAATTGTTAAAATAAAATAAAAAATTACAAATGTATCAAATAAATAAAATTAATTATATTTAATATAATTAAATATCCAAACAATTCCTAACTTCTTCATATCATACCGATTTATGGACCACCTTGACAGTCAATCAATTTTTGTTTCATAAAATGACTTTACCTATACTGTTCGTGCCAAACGCTGTTTTGTTGTATCGACGTCAGAGGGCGCGCGGCTCGGTGCCATACCGGTTTGACTTTCGGTCGTGCGTAGAACGCGCAAGCGCAGCAGTCGTCTGCCAGCTGTGCTAACGTCCTCACGCTGTCAATTTTTGTTCGGGAACTCGGAATAATTAGGCGCGGTTCGTAAATATACTGTCTAGGATTTGTGACGCGCATTCCTTGCTGGAGAGCTTCCCAGGGACTCATTGTGTCTCAGAATCTGTATAAGTGCATTCGACAATATTAGCTAAAGCGGCTTTTGATATTCTAGAAATAACTGTTGCTACGCGAAGCGGTAGTGACACTCCCTGTTCGTTTTGTGTGTTAAGCTTTATAACAACCGAGAATTAGTGGCTTCTGTAAGTTAGTTAATAGTACGATAGAGTTAATGGACTGTCATCGTGACGAACGAAGAAAGTGACTGTGGACGGCGCCGCGGAAGATTACCTCAATTTGGAGCGGTGCTGACGCCCGGGCTGCTGCTGACGGCCAAGGTCACCATCAGTCACACCCAGATACATGTGTATCTGGGTGTGACTGATGATGATGATGACACAGCACCTTATTTCCATTGCACTACACAACCACATGCGACCTGACCGACTCCGGAGGGACCAGTTGCCTTGGATATAGGTAAGTAAGCTCCGTCTAATATTCTCCCTGTTGAATGGCCGTACCACAGAACGCTGCCCCTTATTGTTTAGTGTAACTAGAGATTTTCCACTTTGGCCTTAGGAGGCCCGACCTACGTCTGCTCGTCGAAACTCAGCTGAATGGGCCCCTGAGGATTTGACCTTTATGGGAACAGCCGTAGGCCGTAACATACTGGTAGCAGGGCGTGGTTCCGGGTTCGATTCCCCGGTCGATCCCGACCATAGTGTTTGATAAAAATTAAACAATTCTGGTGGCAGGGAGCGTTGGTATGATTGGTTTAATTTTGTATCTACAATCACGCCCGTCCGTAATATGTAAAAATATTTTTTGTACGTAATAATAAAATTATTTTCCTTTGTTGCTTGCTTATTTGGTTAGCGGGTAGATTTGAAAGCCGCGCCCTTTTTGTGCGCAAGCGGGAGTTTTTCTAGAGGTATGCGTCACGTAGGTAGATGGATATTATCACGTAATCAGTTAATTATCGTTGTCGGATAGTTGTAGTGGATTGCTTATCGAAGGGTCGATTTCCGAGCTAGGCATTTTTTGTTGATCGGCCGTGAGGTGTATCTTCGTTTGTATTGTAATTTGTATTTGAACTAAAGAGCAGTAATTGTATTTGCGCAATTTGAATTTAACTTGATTTGATCGCACTAGTATTTGTTATTTGTTAACACTTTCACTGTCCGGTTTCCAGACACAATAGTAAGACAATAGCAGTGACCTATATGTAGTGCACGGGACAGCGAAAGGGTTAATTTGATTTGTGTCTTTTCTTTTGTGCTAACTTGTATTTGGTTGATAAGTGGTAATTCGTATTTGTGTAATTTCTATTCAACTCAATTTGATAGGAACTGCATTTAATAACTGTTAATTTTTTGTTGTATTTTTTATTTATCTTTGTAATTTGTGCTCGAGCCGCGTCGTAATTTGTATTTAGTAGTGATGTCATCGCCCAAGCTACTAATCCGTTGCCTGCGGACTGAGTTACGCTGGGCCACAAGCGCCCATGCTTTGATAGGTCAACCGGATAGGGTCCATAACTCGATGAAGCGGTTCGAGCAGGTGGATGCTCGAAGGGCCGTAGTGGAGGAGGTTTACGCTGAGCTCGAGGATTCAGATGTGGAAAAGGGAGTCCTGGACTCCTGCTTCGCGGACTACGAGCAGTTCTTTTTGCTCACGGACGAGTTGATCGAGGCTGAAGGCAGGTATGCCGAGGAGGCGCGTGAAGCTCGGATGAGTGGCCTGCCCGAGTCCTCTCGCAAGCAGCTTCAGCCGGAGCTGTTGGGACGACTCCCAACTCTGGACCTGCCAAAGTTCTCCGGGGTCCTTTCCGAATGGCTGACCTTCGTTGGTCTTTTCGACAGTCTAGTGGACGCCCGGAGAGATTTGACCCCGAGACAGAAGATGGCGTACCTCCTGGCCTCACTGGAGGGGGAGGCCCTGGGCGTCGTCGGCCACTTGAGATTGTCGGACGACGCCTACCAGACTGCTCGGGACCTCCTAGCCAGAAGATACGCCAACGTCCGGCGAATTGCGGACGAACATGTTAAGCAGCTTCTAAGCCTCCCGCTGCTTAGTGACCGGGTCAGACTGCGTCCGGACCTGTTGGATCCAGTCTTGGTGGCCTGTAATCCGTTGAGGCGGCTGGATTTACCAGTGGGCGAATGGGCTTTTTTGTTGCTCCGCATCGTGCTGTTCCGTCTACCTCTCGACCTTCGAATCCATTTTGAGGAGAGGTACGGCGGGGACGAGGCCTCCTATATTCCGCCCTTCTATGACCTGCTGCGGTTTTTGGAGGAGCAGTACCGGCAGATCGAGAACGCGACGGGCACCGTTGACGACTTATGAGCCGTGCCCAGTGAGAGGCTGAATCCGCCAGGCAAGTCGTCGTCAACCCCCCCCCCCCCCTGCTCCTATTGTCGAGCAACTGATCACCCGGTAACGTCGTACCCGAAACTATTAGGTAAGCCGGTTCCGGCGAGGCGAACTATCGCCAAGGAGCGCCGCTGGTGCTGCTCATGTTTGGAAGGGAACCTCCAGCGAGACTGTCTGCATCGGCGGCCCTGTCTGCATTGCCAGGGCAATCACCATGCAGTTTTGTGCCTGGGTGCGAATGGCGTCTCCTCTCGGGGCTCTGCCAGGCCCTCGACCCTCACGGGCGGGGGAGCTCAGCCACGCCCTCTGCCGGACGACTCTCGGCGCCCGCCGGCCAGCCACCAGGCCCCAAGGTACGAAAAGGGTCCCTCCTCCGACCCGTCGGGGCGTAATTCCCCCAGGGGCGGGGGTGTCAACAACCCCCCTCAGCATTTGGAGAGGAACTTCACGGCCAATCATCGGTCCGCTGGACCCTTCTCACTCCCGTTAGCTGAGTGGCCGCGACTGGTGTACCACTGTTCCCCATTTGATGGAGGCGGCCATGGCTAGCTGCCGCCTTAGCTCCCACCACGGCCGCCTCCACTGAGCCTTAAGCCGTCAACAGTCTACTTTTCAAAATGTTCTGTTGCCGACGGCCTCAGTGAAGACGTACAACCCGAGTGGCGACTGTTAGCGGTTCGCGCTCTATTGGTCTCGGGTTCACGTCGTGTGGCCTCCACTTGGTGGTGGGAAGATTAGGGCCCCCCTGGAGCGTGGAATCACGCTGTCAAGGGGTATTAGATTGGTTTGGTCGAGCACTTAGTTAAAATTCTTTAAATTAAATTTAAAAATGCTTTTGGGTTTTACGCGAAATTTCCATATTTGTAGCGGTTGTGATTAAAAGAATTGAATTTAATCTACTCCTTTAAATGCTGCTGCATATGTTTTGTAAATATATTTAATCACTGTGTTTGTAGCTGCACGGAAAATTGAAATTGAATTATGTGTATTAATGCTTGTGCGTATGCTTTGTAATTGTATTTGATTGTTGCGCCTGGTTGCTGAAAAGAAAGTTTGAATTCATTTGAAATTTAATGTCGCGCTATTGGGAAAATTATGTATATATTTTGTGATAGTGTTTAATCATATTGCTTTGTGAAAAGGAAGGCTGAAATTAGATAACCCTATTTGTGCCGAAGTAAATAAAAGTCAATTCTCCTTTGGTTTACATTTTGTTGGCACTGTCTAAGTTATTTAAATGAGAAATAGGGCTGTCTCTTGCGTTTATTGTTTTGTTTAATTTGTCAAGTTGACCTATGTGCATCGGTGATTAATTTGGTTGAATTGATTCTGTAGTTGAACATTGATGCTTTGAAAAATTAGTTGAAATATGAGCATAGGACTACCTGCCTAACAGGCTGGCTAGTTGTAGATTATCAGATGGAAATCAGCTGTCGCACCATTTGGTAAATGATTATAATATGGTGGATGGCCTGGCTAGGCCTACTTGTTGAAAATTCATACTAGGGACTATCTGTGCGTTTCATTCGGCTCTCCACAGATGACGTTCATGTGGAATTGTGGGTGCTCTCTGTACTGAAGCTTAGGAAGTCACTCTGGGCCGCTTCGTGTCGCGTCGCTGTTTGCAGACCTGATCCGGTCGGATTGCGGAACTAATCATAGGAGCACAGATAGGTATTTGAAGGAGATCATCGGACTTCTGTCTAGGAATAGGACTTATTTATGGGCTGCGATGTCCAGGAAGGGCATCCAGTTAAACTCCGGCTTGCCCACGTTGGGGCTGTAATTTTGAGGCGTTGGTTAGGGTTGCAAGATCTGATGGGGTGCCTAAGGTGGCCTAGTTTGGTTGCAGATTCGGTCTTGCAACTTGCCGTCGCAACCTTGTCCCGTTGACCGGTTTGCTCGCGGACCTAAATCCTTATGTCCGGGACGGGGGTTTGTTCGCGCCAAACGCTGTTTTGTTTCGACGTCAGAGGGCGCGCGCCTCGGTGCCATACCGGTTTGACTTTCGGTCGTGCGTAGAACGCGCAAGCGCAGCAGTCGTCTGCCAGCTGTGCTAACGTCCTCACGCTGTCAATTTTTCTTCGGGAACTCGGAATAATTAGGCGCGGTTCGTAAATATACTGTCTAGGATTTGTGACGCGCATTCCTTGCTGGAGAGCTTCCCAGGGACTCATTGTGTCTCAGAATCTGTATAAGTGCATTCGACAATATTAGCTAAAGCGGCTTTTGATATTCTAGAAATAACTGTTGCTACGCGAAGCGGTAGTGACACTCCCTGTTCGTTTTGTGTGTTAAGCTTTATAACAACCGAGAATTAGTGGCTTCTGTAAGTTAGTTAATAGTACGATAGAGTTAATGGACTGTCATCGTGACGAACGAAGAAAGTGACTGTGGACGGCGCCGCGGAAGATTACCTCAATTTGGACCGGTGCTGACGCCCGGGCTGTTGGCGACGGCCAAGGTCTACTAAGGTCAATCACCATCAGTCACACCCAGATACACATCACAGCACCTTATTTCCATTGCACTACACAACCGCATGCGACCTGACCGACTCCGGAGGGACCACTAGCCTTGGATATGGTAAGTAAGCTCCGTCTAATATTCTCCCTGTTGAATGGCCGTACCACAGAACGCTGCCCCTTATTGTTTAGTGTAACTAGAGATTTTCCACTTTGGCCTTAGGAGGCCCGACATACGTCTGCTCGTCGAAACTCAGCTGAATGGGCCCCTGAGGATTTGATCTTTATGGGAGCAGCCGTAGGCCGTAACATATACAATGAGTTAAATGTCGCTACTACAAAGTAATTTTAGTCGAAATAAAATATATTCTTTTAATTTAATTAATGTAAAATTTAGGCTCTACAACTACATGTCTAAAAATAAGGATTAATTTGACATTTTTGTGCTGTAAACTTAAACTTTTATCGTATATTTTATGCCGCACTTGTGGTTGAAAATTATCAAATTAGATAAATCATTTGCTGTGATATATTTTGTTTTATCTTTAATTTCATTTGAAAGTTTCACTTCTACCGCGTGTAAAATGCACGTATACTTTTTTATGTATGTTCATATATTTCTCGTAAACGGCTGAACCGATTTATGATTGTGATGATTGTGAAATATATCATATTCTATATAAGACGCAGTGACATACCATTTGCTTGCGGTTTGCAGGTTCTTTTACCACACGAAACAAGTACTTGTAACAAGTAAAAATAAAGTTACAGCCTGTTATATATGTTCCACTGATATGAGAGTCTGCACGTGGTAGCGTCACGCAACAGCTATATTATAGTTGTAACACGAATGGGTCGACTCGACCGGAGAAGGACTACGCTCTCACATAATGCCAACGTAGAATAACAGCTTAATGCTGATGTGTCTCTTCTTAAGGTGAGTGTAGAGAACCGAAGACCCCTTTGCCCTCCTGGGTAATGACGCATCCGCATTTTTATTCTTAATCGGGAATAGATGTAGATGTCTATGGGCCTCAGCATCCACTTACTCTCAGGTGGACTGTTAGCTCATATATAATTTTTTTTTATAAAAAAATAGGAGGTCTGTGCCTAGGCCTACGCTCATCTCCAAGAGAGGTTTCAGGGTAAAGAGATTTTGGTTACGTCGGCACATTCGAGAAAGAACGTTGAAAGGGGAATATAGGCTATCCAATAATTTAGACGACGAAAAATTTAAGAACTATTACAGGGTTAGCAGAGAACAATTTCAAGATTTTTATCCATTTGTAAAGGATGACATTTTAAAATTTAAAATGTTAAAATTAAATTTTAAAACAGCAGCGTCGAGCGAGTCCGTTTCAAACTAGTCGGCGAGACCGCGACGCAGCGGACACATGTTACTCGTTTGGTCCGCTCCGCCCAACTCTTTTTCGGTAGAAACACTACTTTGTAAAATTCAATTGCAAGTTGAACGGACTCATTAATGACTCCGGTCCGAGTCCGCAGCTCATTTTTACTCCTTTAGGCCTCGTTGTCATTTACACTCGACTCTTTGTTGGTGGAAACACATGTATGCAGTTTTGTATTGCGAGGTAAAAGGAGTAATTAATGGGTCCGTTCCGCTCGCGGTGGAAACCGGGCTTAAGGAAATTTACGCCGCGCTGCATCATGCGTGTTGGCGGACTTCACGTGTCTTCGAAATATATTTTTTTAATTTCTCAGAGATGCACCTCACGATATTTTCCCTCACCGGCAAACACGTGGTAAAACATCACTTAAAATTGCAATTAACGATTTGATTGGTGCTAGCGGGTATTGAACTAGGCTTGCTCGCGTACAGCGGGTTACAGCGAGTACTCACAAAATACCAGCGTAAAATAGCAGCTTAATGCTGTTGTGTTTCGTATGGTGAGTGTAGAGAACCGGAGACCCTTTTTACTGGAAAAGAGGCATTGCATCTTAGTCGTCAAGGGTGACAACGCATCTGCATTTTGATTCGTAAACGAGGATAAATGTAAATGTCTATGGGCCATAGCAAACACTTACCATCAGGTGGACTGTGTGCTCGTTAGTCACCCTATCCTATAAAAAAAAACTTAACCCCTGAGTACCACGTACAAGTACTTGTCAAGTACAAATAGTGGTCCATAAAAAATAATTTGTTCCGGGTCTGAGTGTTTTTCCAAGTACAATTTGTGTATGTGATCACCGGCACTGATATACTTCTCTACGATGTACCTTTAATATCACAAATGACATTATTATCGTTTAAATACAGATATAGCATTAATGTATCTTTCATTTCGTTTGTGGTAAGAAAAATAATTATACAGGAGAAGTTTGGTATAAAATTTTGTATAAAATAAAGTAAGTACTAATGCTAGTATTTTTTTTTTCATTTTCCGATACAAACCAGTGGCATGGGTGGTGGGGAGCGTAGCAGTAACGTGTCGCATGTTTTCGGAGGTGGGCGCAGCGAGGGATGCACCGCGGTATGGGGGGAGGGGTGCGGCGAGGGGGAGGGTGGGGGCGCGGGGGGCGCGGCGGGCGCGGCGGCGCACGCGCACCACGCCAGCGCCAGCGCCGCCCACCGCGCCACCATCGCTCACCGCGCGCGCATCTGCCGCTGCAAACAAACAACGTTAGGTCAGTACAAGTACGTATTACTATTATTTATTCTGTGGTACAGGCGTCAATAGTCTACCGTATGACAGCAGCCTAATGGCAGGGTGCTCATTCGAATCCGCCATTCGACTACTGTCATGAACAACACCTAACACAAGAATTTTATCGGAAGTGTTTAAACGGAATATTAGTAATTTTAATATTATTGGTAGGTAATATTTAAGAAAAAAGGCATACATGTAGCCCCCTAAGATTACTATGACACGAATTTGTTCAAATGGGTAAATTGTGAAATGTCAAATTGGACATTAAGTACTGACATAGTTTAAGATGGGGCTTCAAATGGAGATCCGGTGACTCTTGTGTGATGATTTTAGTCGTTAGAAGTATAGCAAAACCTTTCCGTTTCCCAGCAGCGTTAAATTTGATGAGAATCTCCTCGAGTTAAAGAGGTTTCAAGTGATGCCAGGTCAAGCTTCAGATTGGAGTGCCTTTTATACCAGTAGGTATTTTAAAACGGAACAGTGACCTATTGTTTTTTTTTATAAAACTGAAGTGACAAACTAATTAATAGTCCACCTCATAGTAAGTGGCTACTACAGCCTATGGACATCTGCAGCTACCTTCAAGCAAAGAAGTCTAGAGATGCGTCGTCACCTCTGAAGCCGTCCGCCTGTAAATATGCTGGATCTCTATACCCTCGAGCACAGTAATGTAAGCCCAGCTATTTGGCGGCCAGAAACAGACAACAGGGTGGTACATACTCATAAAAATTCCTAGGGAGGAAAGGAGTTCCACCACCTAGCAGCTGATAGTGACTGATAATGACTCACACTAGCTTTTAATTTTCAAAACATTTTCACTAGATGTCAGAGCTCTGTTTCTGTCTAGGTGTTCGTGCAGTTAGTTAGCTACCACCAGCTTGCCTATTTCTGTAGCCAAAAAACACCGCTGTGTACTGTGAAATAAGACTTATGTCGCAGTGTAAGAATATCCACTACCCGATATTGTCTCGTGGTGGTAATAATAGGCGGCAGAGGGAAACTGAAACAGGATGGGCAGCAGCATATTTCGAATCCCAACTCAAAATAATAAAAACTGCGGTTTCCAACCCGCCTTTCAAGCGTGGCTACTTCATAGTTTTTTTTTATAGAAGAGGGGGCAAACGAGCATGCGGCTCACCTGATGGTAATTGACTACCGCCGCCCAAGAACAACTGCAACACCAGAGGAATTGCAGATGCGTTGCCGGCCTTTTAGAAAGGTGTAAGCTCTTTTATTGAAGGTCCCTATATCGTATTGGTCCGGGAAAATCGCCGGTGGTAAAAATTCCACAGAGAAGTTATACGAGGAAGAAAACTCCTAGTAAAACTACAGTCGTGGACCGCCAAACATCCAGATGGTAAGGATGTTATCGTGAATTTTGATGCGATGTGCGTTCGTGAAATTTGGCGGCTGGAACTAACCCGAACAATTCCTCAGAGTACTCCCCGTGGTAAATTCGATAGAAAATGCAAAGGGATGCAACATCCCTACGCAGTGCCAGTGTATCGAACCAATCAGAAAGAACTCGGTCATCGACGATGCGGTCAAGTGGAAGGAGCTGCCACTGCGGTGCCCCAGCTCAGAGATGGGAACAATATTCCATGTGAGGCCGAACTTGCGCTTTGTAAAGTTGTAAGCGATGTGCCGGCATGAAATACTGTCTCGCTCTGCTGAGCACGCCAAGCTTTTTAGAGGCCAATTTGGCCTTCCCTTCCAAGTGACCCCGAAACTGCACACTATTCGATATGTCGACGCCGAGGATTCCGATGCTAGCCGAGGCAGCAAGGGGAGAGCCTTGATACTGAGGAGATACGACAAAGGGGTTCTTTTAAGCGGTAAACGCGCAAACTTGTGTCTTCTGGGGATTGAACTGGACTAGATTTAGTCGCCCCCAATCCGAGACTTTGTTCAGCAAAGACTCGACTTCAGACACAAGTTTGTCCCCGTACTCGGCGACGTTTTCACGTAATATTGGCACGGCCGGTATATAAGGCATCACCAGTGCTGTCGTCTGCATAGCAATGAATATTACTAGTTTGCAACGTATCATTGATAGTTGCCTCATAAGAGGGATTATGTCATTGACGGCCCCGTGTTGCAGTGGCTTAGCAATGAGTTGCTGCGTTGGGGGTCGCGGGTTCGAACCCCTCACGGAACAAGTATTTGTATGGCCTGCAAATAATTGTTCTGGGTCTGGATGTTTGTCCTTGTGCAATTTATGTTTTTAAACTGCTTCCACGACACAGGAGAATATCATAGTGTGGTTGTAACCTTTTAAAAAAAGTCTCTCATATGAAGGCATCAAATGGATAGATGAATACGATGTACGATAAGCCATCACATTATCTCTGCACAGGGAGGACGACTCACTGGCCCACGCTGCAAAAGAGAAAGCTGACCTTTTAGGCTCACTTTTTGCGTCCAACTCGACTCTTGTTGACGGGAAGAACACACCGCCGACCATCCCGCGGTGTGAGTGATCCATGCGTGTTGTTATTTGCATAGCAATTGGAGATGCACCGATCCATTTGAAGAAGATTTTGTGAAAAGATCTTGGCTTTCGAGCTTATTAAGGTCCAGCTTGTGCAATAGTTGTAATTGCATGACCATTATGCGCGTCGTGTTCGGTAAATGGGCCGAAAATAATATTCACTTTGAACCTATTTTTAAAGGAAAATATTTGTTTAGCGGTGAGGTCATTTTGGTTAAGCGTACAGATAATAAATGTAATTTATAAATGTAATATAATAAATGGAACAAGAATTTGTATGGCCTACAAATAATTGTTCCGAGTCTGGATGTTTATCCTCGTGCAATCTATGTTTGTAAACTGCCTCCACGATACAGAAGAAAATCCTAGTGTGGGGGTAGCCTTTTATAAAAAAGAAGAAGAAGAAGAAGAATTGCCGAATGTAAAGTGAAGAATTTTTTTTTAAAATAAAGCCAACAGCAAAAACATTAACATTATTTTTCAGTCTTATATTACATTTAAGTTGTTACAGCATTATAAAATCAAGTGATGAACATAGGCCTTCCCCAAAGATTGCCTCATAGGGGGGATATTTGCTAAAGTTGCCACACTTGGCAAGCGGGTTGGCAACCGCAGTTTTTATTTTTAGTCGTTATTAGGAAGACGCTGCTGCCCATCTCCTGATTTGTTTCCCTCTGTCGCCTCTTACGACACCCACGGGATGATGTGGGGTAGTGGATATTCTAACACCACCACTACACGGTAATACTAATATATCTACGTTAGGATAAATATTAAAAAACTAGCGATCCGCCCTGGCTTCGCACGGGTGATTTCGGGAACTGAACAACAGTGCCACCTACCGGGTCCAAATGTGATTCTAAACAATCTAAATACTCATTTAAATACAAACAAAAAAATCATCAAAATCCTTCGAGCCGTTTTCGAGTTTTAGCGAGACTAACGGACATAAATTGATATTTATATAGAGATATTTGCCGATAGAATTGTTATCTTTCATATGAAATTACGTTAGTTTGAATCTTGAGAAGATCTTTAACGTTGTCACTGACTTAATTTTAAGAAACAAACCTTGTTGAGTGCTTTTTTAATGTCAAGAGGGAATTCCTTCCAGAGTCTAATGGATAATGGTGATTGAACGAGTGGAATAGGTTTCAGAGGCTAACATTGAATTACGATTTTAGTAACGGAAAGATATCGATAAATTATCATTAAAAAAATTGAAACAAGTAAAGCACATCTACCTAAGATGAAACAGTGATCGGTTATCGTTGTTTATTTTAATTTTAACGACCTTCTGTTTATCGGTATTGATGATAGATTCATCGATTGTACTTAGGATAATCTATAAAATACGGAAGCTACATGTTTTTGCTTCCGTATTTAATATTTAGACGTTCAACTTCTTTGCGAGTATCGACGCGCACGTATTCTTTGAAGTTGAACATCTATACAAATAAATAAAATTGAAGTGTCTGTTTGTAATGTCAAAATTACGGCTTTTAAAGTATATACGATACTTATGACAAAAACACAATTTTTAAAATTTTTGTCTGTTTGTCTGTCTGTCGTTCTGTCTGTCTGTCTGTTTGTTTGTTCCGGCTAATCTCTGAAACGGCTAAACCGATTTTGATCGGACTTTCACTGGCAGATAGCTGAGTGAGTACGCCTAGCTCGGCTCCAAGCCTGAGCGGTCAGACGCTGCAGCAGCGGAAAATTCCGTTGTTCCTAACGGTTAAATTTTATGATTAGATTCGTGGATTTTTGACTATCTGTTCGCGTATCTGGAGGTTTGCGACCTTAATCGCTCCATATAGGGTGGATATCCCGGCCACCGCGCTGTCTGGTCAGGTGGTCGTAGGTCTCCCGCTTCGGGCCAAACGTTAAGGGTCGCATGTTTTAATCGCTTAAACTTTTAAGCATTTTCATTCGCACATTCAATTCGCGTTCTTGTAAAATGCGGCAACAAATACTACGCCGAAATCGGCGTACCCGATCCAGTCGCGTTGCAGGCGACATGTGATGTGGACGTACCGAATGTTTTATTAAATTTTGATCATAATCCGAAGTAAAATACCAGCTTGCGTAGTAAAACTGTGTAAAAATAATACTACAAGAAATAAGAAAGATACTGGGATCACATACTATCAGTAAGTATCATACAATTTCGAAATTTCAACATAAAATAACACGAGCTATAAATAAGTTACAAAATATGAATTACGTCATTCAGTGTTGCGTGTACAAAAATAAAGTTCCCCGTGGCTGAGATTTTTATATGTGAATTTATTGTTACTATATTTTATAATATAATATATTTAACTTATTATAATATAATCTAATTCTATATTATTTAATGTTTATTTTTGTAGTATTGCTCAGATGACCTAATATTTATGTGTTGTTTTATTAATTGTTATTTTTATTATTAAAACATTATTT